CATTTCACATAAGAGGCTTGGCAACATCTAACAGAAGGAATATACAAAAGAGGTGCATCTTAATACAAAACAACCCAGGTCATATCCTCTTGAATCACAAAATCTGCCAGATTTATCAATGTTAACAGTGAGGGAATACATTAGGTCATATTTTTTTAGTCAATATGTTATCATTTGACATACAGGGCTGGGTGACATTCAAAAAGTACAAAATAAAAATAACATAGAAAACATAAATAAAGAAGTCATTATAAAGAATTTTTTTTTTAAAGGCCAGGGAGTTCTTCAGAGTAGTTTATAAAGGGGGACCATTGTCTATGAACTTGCATTTAAAGCCTCGAATCATGCATTTAATCTTCCAATTGAATAGAAGACATCACTTCATTTATCTAGAAAGTGTGTGTTGGAGGGTCTACTCTTTTCCACTTGAATAATATTAAACGTCTTACAGTGTAGTGAATGCAATAATCAAATGTATATCTTTACTAAGATCTATATTCCCAGACACGACACCAAAAATGCCCATCAATGGATCTGGGTCAATTGGAATGCTATATATCTGTTCGTATGTTTCAAAAATCCCTTTCCTAAACTATTCTAGCTTGGGATAAAACCAGAACATATGAGCAGTGGTAGAAATTCTTTTTACGTGTTTTTTATATTGTATTTCATTTCGTTTCCTTTTCCAGCAGAAAAGGACCCTGAACATCAGAAGCTTCTGTTCTAAAATATTTTAAACGTCTCTTACAATTAAATATATTGTGTTCAATGGGGGGAAAAAAGTAATTTTTTACCCAGACATGTAAAAAGAACAGTCTTTAGAGCATGAAATGGGGATATATTTATTTAATTTAAGGTTATCATACCGTCAGAATCTTATACCAGCTCATGCCTAGTTAGAAATTGTCTCACATTAGCCCATCCCTGAAGTTGAATCCTGCACCAAAAGCCACAACACAAGACAGAACAGAAAATCCCACCTATGCCAACATTAGCTGAAGAGGTGGACGGTAAAGCTGATTATAGAGGCGCTTCATTCAGGGTGTTATTATAAGGCCAACTGACTCTCACCCTCTATCTAAATAACAGAAACACACCCACACCTGGGAAATTACGCAAGACTCTCTATCTTACCGATCAGTGTGACAGGTGTGCCGTATTCCAGAGCAGAGATAGCCGTCCATTTCCCTGTGCCCTTCTGCCCGGCGCTGTCTCTAATTTTGGGCAGCAGGTTAGTGCCGTCTGCGTCCTTGAATTTTAGGATGTTGGCTGTGATCTCGATGAGGAAGGAGTCCAGCTCTGTCTTATTCCACTGTTCGAAGACCTGATAGGAAAACAAAAACACTGGAATTCACTCTCAAGAGGAAGCAGACCAAAACGGCACATTAGAAAGCAAAGAGTGAGGTATATTTCAAAATACAGAAGAAAGGAGGAAGGAGGAAACCAAGGCTTACAACATCATGGACTGTTCTTGTAAAAAAAATAGAACAGTAATTGAAGAAGGAAGTGGATGTCTGACCTGAGCCATTTCATCATGGTTCATACAAAGCACGTCCTTCATCAGATGATAGGCCTCACAGATCAGCTGCATGTCCCCGTATTCAATACCGTTGTGGACCATTTTAACAAAATGACCCGCTCCTTCATCTCCAACCCAGTCGCAGCACGGCTCTCCGGTGCCCACTTTGGCAGCAATGCTCTGAAAAATGTCTTTTAAGTGTGGCCTGAAGAAACAAAATCAAATAAACTGTCAAGCAGTGCACGCATAAATACACTTAATAATCAATTAATTTAAAAGTATTAAAAAGTTTTAGCCGTTTTAAATTACATGATGTTTTTTTAACTATATATTTATGAAATGAATCCCACATAAGACTGATTTAAATATTAAAAGTGCAGTTGTTTGGAGTAGTGATTGTACTACTTGAGTACAAAATCTGAATATTCAAATAATTTCTGAATTGTGTCGCGAGTAACGATGCTTAAAATTCAGCCTTGAGTCACAGGCATAAAATTACATTATTAATTAAATTTAAACTATTTTTAGTTTAAATAATATTTCAGAAGATTACTGACAAAAACAAATAAATTATGCCAAACTTGGTAGTCCAGATAGTCCATATTTATATTTATATATATATATATATATATATATATTTTTTTTTTTTTTTTTTTTTCCCCATTTAATACACACTTATCCTCACCAGGCATCTTTATGTCCTCCGGGCATCAGCGAGGGTCCGTAACGTGCCCCATCTTCTCCTCCACTTACTCCACTACCCACAAACAGAAGATTCTTCTCCTTCAGGCTCTTACAACGTCTCTATATGTGAAGACCAGTAATATTGAGATTCGACATGATGATGAAAACTGTTTTAGGTCTCATTTTAGATGGCCAAACTCACCGTTGTATCTCTGTACTCTGAATTTCCACCATCAATGATGATGTCTCCAGGCTCAAGAAGAGGAACCTACAACATAAAGCATATAGACAACTTCTGAGTCACTCACAACAAACTAGGACTATCATTTCATGGTGATATTTACCAGTTTATCGATGAAGTCATCAACAGCCTGTCCTGCCTTGACCAGCAGGATGATGCGGCAAGGTTTTTTGAGTTTTGACACCATGTCTTTAAGGGATTCGGCCCCGATCACCTTAGTGCCTTTGGCTTCATTGTTTAAGAAGTCATGGACTTTGGAGACGGTTCTGTTGAATGCACAGACCTAAATAAAAATGACAACTGTTATAACATCTTAAACATGTTAAAATCATGGAGAAATGCAAATGCACTGATGTGACTTACCACAAATCCATGGTCATTCATGTTCAGGATCAGATTCTGACCCATCACAGCTAGACCAATGAGAGCAATATCTGCTCTGTGGAGACATTATTAACAGAATGAACACTGATTATATTTAATTACAGAGTGCAAATTACAAGAAATCATGAGTAGGTCAAACGTCAGTCTGGCTGGGTGACTTTAAAGAGACTTCAACATTAAATCTGTGTCCGAGCATAGAGAAAAGGTGCTAGATATTAAGTAGACAGTTCAGAATAGAGACAGTCAATGCTGATTACGTGCAATAAGCAGATTACATTGCATTTAAGTTGAATATACAAAGTCAAAGGTGATAAAGAAGTTGGACATTTCACTACTCAGCATCTCAGACGCAAAATTCATACTTACTGAGCCATTGTTGAAGTTTGGTTCCGTTCAAAAATGAGAGTTTCGATGAGGGTTTTGACTGCTGTTATTCGGTCTCTGCTGAACTTCCTCATTCACGGCCTTGTGGAGCAGCACTGCACCAGCTCCCAATGAACACGCCTGACGGATGAGTGTGCTCGTGGCGTCATCCCTATCTCCGGCTGTGATAGGCGGAGGCTCTCTGAGCAGAGATTGGAGTCCGGTCATTTGCTGTAAGCTCCTGTTCCACCCCCCGTATGTGCCCCGCCCACTGTGCTTTGACAGTAGCTGTCTGTACGAGAGGAGTGTTTGGCAGCATAGTAAACGAGGAATTAGACTTTCCATGAGGTGAATTGGGACATTGGTTTGCTTTTGAAAGAAGGATTGCTTCACTGTGATAATGTGTAACATATATTAAGTTTCATCAAAATAATTAATTATTAAACGGATTACTACATGAATAGATAACGACAGTCGATTAGATTTATTAGGTAAGTTATGGGTTGAGTACAATTTTAATATTAGGCTAGTTGTACTTTAGTAAGGTCTGAAGGTCATATCTTTCACTACAAACACATTTAATTAGATATAAACACCCAAATATGATGTTTCATTTATTTACACTCACCGGCCACTTTATTAGGTACACCTGTCCAACTGCTCGACGCAAATTTCTGATCAGCCAATCACGTCAGCCACTCAACGCATTTAGGCATGTAGACATGGTCAAGACGATCTGCTGCACTTCATAGTGAGCACCAGAATGAGGAAGAATGGGGATTTAAGTAACTTTGAACATAGCATATAGCATGTTTGTTTGTGTCAGACGGGCTGGACTGGGTATTTCAGAAACTGCTGATCTAGTGGGATTTTCACGCGCAACCATCTCTCGGGTTTACAGAGAATGGTCCAGAAAAGAGAAAATGTCCAGTGAGCGGCAGATCTGTGGGCACAGGAGGTCAGAGGAGAATGGCCAGAGTGGTTCCAGTTTATAGAAAGGCAACAGTAATTCAAATAACCATTTGTTAGAACCAATTATACAGAAGAGCATCTCTGAATGCGCAACACATTGAACCTTGTTGAGGCGGATAGGCTATAGCAGCAGCGACATTTGGATGATAGGGTCAAAATTAGGAATCAGCAATATGAAAGCATGGATCCATCCTGACTTGTATCAACGGTTCTGGCTGGTGGTGGTGGTGTAATGATGTGGGGGATATATTCTTGGCACAAGATTGAGCATCCTGTCAACGCCACAGCCTGAGTATTGTTGCTGACCATATCCATCCCTTTATGACCACAGTGTACCCATCTTCTGATGGCTACTTCCAGAAGGATAATGCACCATGTCATAAAGCACGAATAATCTCAGGCTGGTTTCTTGAACAGGACAATGAGTTTACTGTGCTGAAATGGCCTCCACAGTCACCAAATCTCAATCCAATACAGTATCTTTGTGATGTGGTAAAACGGGAGATTAGCATTATGGATGTGCAGCAAACAGATCTGCAGCAACTATGTGATGCCATCATGTCAATATGGTTGAATCGATGCCACAGAGGATTAAGGCAGTTCTGCAGGCAAAAGGGGGTCTAGTAAGGTGTACCTAATTAACTGTCCAGTATTTCCATATACATAAATAAAAAAAATCTGACAGTTACTAGCAATATCAATTTAGAAAAGTAAAAAAAAAATAATAAATAGGCAAAGTCACCAATTAAACCTTTAAACACTAACATTATATAATGCATCATAAACATAACGCAAGTGTCGAGTAAGGAGAAAGAACGACACAAAAAGAGATCTGCCCTCTGTCTAATGCACTGGTTGTAATTTTATTTTTTTACCTCATTCACTAAACAGGTCAATGGTGCAAGATTACCATACACAGAATTAAGATATATGCATTACACGTCTAGGCTATACAGCGAATGGATTATAATTATTACAAATACAGGAGACATATTTACATTTTAATCCAAGTTCCATACAACATGAAATATTTACAAAATAAGTATGAAAATGAAGCCAATCTGACAAATAATGTACAGTGTTAATGCCACAGCTAAACTGTTTCTGTCGTTTCATCACAATGAGAGGGAACGATGTTCATCTGGAAACGTGAGGTGATACAGTAATGCCAGGGTTGCTTCAAAGGCAGCATGGGAGAAAAAAATGCATGAGTGAGCGGAAAAAAAGAAAGAGAGAAATGACCGTGCCAGTAAAACAATGCTATATTTTTAGAAAACATATTCCCTGATGTTAGAAATTAAAACGCACAAGCCTCATCGCAACTCTAGACTAAATGTGGAAAAAGTGCCCATGTAACATCATCCATTTCCTATTTCAAGAAATAAGAAGCACAGCAACATGTCAGTCCCTATATTTGTCATATCTCATCAGATAATTCATGCATTTAGTGGAACTCAAAATACATTCAAAGTCCATTTCCATAAACACCACACTCCATTTGGTTTCCATTCCAGAAAACAAAAAACATAATTCAAGCTTTATTTGTTCTGTTGTTAGTTTGTATAAACGCATATTATGTGCAAAGAGCTGCAAACTAATATATACATTGCAAAACAATAAATACAGTTAATGGAAATTCATTATGAATGTCACATTAGTCAGTGAAGCCACTCAACAAAGATTGTTAAAAATATATCAGAAAACCTTTGCTCTGGCCAAAAAAGTAACATTAACTCATAAAATTAGATAAACGCTAACCTTCATTAACTCTCCATGCTCCTTATGTGCCAAATCAGAACATTTTCACAGATTTCTTAACAATCCAACAGCTCCGATGAGGCCTGCAGGCTGGCTGACCCGAGGACTTTCAGAGATTCAGAGTCGTTTTCATGCGTTTCCTGTGAAAATGCACTAAAGCGAGCTTATTGACTTCATATCAGTGATCAGCACTTCTGTAGCAGTCATCAGTTCCTGCTGGTTGTCTGGCCAGAGGAATGTTGTTTGCCGAAAATCAAACTGGATCACTGCTAACTTCAGCACTTACATCTAAACTGCATGTGTTCAAACATACAAGGTAAAGATCTTCAAAAGAAACACTGAAGAGTTCTTCAGCCTCTAAGTGCCGTCTGAAATTTCCATCGAAAATCAACATTTTTCCAGCTTCCTTTGTTTGTGATGTCCTTTAAAGACCAGGAAACGGACTTATTCTTTGCCATAAACGTGATATTACTGAACACACACAGGAGCCTGAAAAAATGCTTATTTTAAAGGACAATTTCAGACAGCATTTAAAGGTTTTTTCATCTAGTCAACTATTAAAATTAGACAACATACCATCCCTTTTCCCTCACTGCGCCGCAGTGAACTGCACAAGTGGCCCAGTTTACATCCACTGACAGTGATGAAACGCTTTTAGTGGTCCGAGTAAATAAATAAGACTATAAATGAGGAAAAAGTGCCCTTCTTGTCTTCGTTTGTATAATGTAAAACACTGATCGCTTGTTAATAAAAATAAGTTAAGAGATATGTGGTAAATGCGCACTCATATTTAAAAGTCCTACTCTTCTTCAAAAAGGCTGGTTTAATGATCCTGCTGATCGGAAATTCCTCTGCAAATGTGAATATCTGCGTAACCGTAACCAATCAAATCAGCATCTCACTTCAGATGAGACGAACAGCCCGCCAAAAATGGCATTCCAGTAATACAGTAAGGACAGAAACTCATGAAGAGCGATAAGCGCAGTAATCCTGAAGGTTATGTACAAATGGGATTCATTCGGTCAGTTGTTCTGTGTGTCTAAGGTAATTCTTTTGCACCATTTTATTTTCTTAAGCTAATCTACTGAGGAAATCGAGCAGAATATTCCTGTAGGCTACTGAAAGAGTGATATGAGAGCTCATGGTCATCTTTCCTTCATGTACATCATGATTAGATACTGCACTTTGCTAAATGGCGTGTTTTACGTCCTTCATATGTGGAATTTATGTCAAGCAAATACACTGCATCAGGCTGGGCCAATGGGCTGTATGTACACGGTCAACATACCCACTATCATTGCTAGCTTTGATTTAGCAAATCCAATACTGCGAGAACATTCAGTTTAATAGTCAATTTCAGCCTCTTTTAGAAAATTAAGCATCTCGAAGAAGTGCTTTGGTCCATCTGAAAATTCAATTTTTTTCTGCGCTATTTGGAGCAACGCTATTTGTGAGAGAAAGTTGATTTTTTTAAACCTTTAAATGTGGAATATTTGATATATTATTATACTATTCTTATTTATTTTCTTCAACCTTAATGCCATAGGGGTTTATAGCAAACTGACTTTCTCCTGAGGGTTGTGGGTAAGATGTTCCTGGCAGACAACACTGTAAAAATGAACTGAAGAGAAGCAGAACCTGCTCTGAAGATTCGTGCACACACAAACAGACTATTACAACATGCAACTCGAAGGAGGTTCAGTTATGACAAAGAACGAAAACTGAAGACAGAATAAATCCGATCAATAATAACACAATAGAGAGGGAGGAGGAGGAGGAGAAGAGGAACTGAAAGTTCATTTGCTGGAGAGGAGAACAGAGCCACAGGTCTACATACAAGAGAAACCGTCAAGAAGCACAAAGATTTAGAAGTGTTAACACACTTGGTACGCTGTAAAGGTAGACAGAGAGAAAAAGAGCACTATCTCTGCATGTGTGTGTGTGTGTGATCACTCAGTTCTTCATCACACCAGACCGTCTCCTTGCAAGCTTCGACCTGCAGGAGAACATAGAGAGTCAGAAGGACAGCGCACAACAACATCAACAAAAAACATTTACAAAGAAGTGAATGTGACTGCTGATGGACTTTAGTCAAGGAGGTAAACATTTTTTGGGTTTTTTTTTCCTTTGTTTTTTTTTTAGGTATGGATTTTATGGCAAATTACAGGAAAAGGACAAAATTAATTATACTAAACAGAGCAATAAGGACTGCCTGATGGCCCGGGGACAGCGTGTGAGATGCTCGGCACAGTAGACAATATTGTTACTGGCCCAATCGGGCCACTGATGCCCTGTCACTAAAGTTTAATTTGCCTGTGACTATTTGTCAATTGTGTGCAAAAACAGTGAGAATCGAGAAACAGTTTGTGTTTTTAAGTCTTCAAATGCTACCTTCTCAGTTCCTCTTATCTGATTGGATGTTGTGAGCACGTTATTTATTCCGTAACAACCAGTACAGCGAAGTGACAGCAACATGGCAGCAACATCAAGTGAGGATGCTAAAGGAAAACATTTGTTTCTAATGTCATGGAAGCAGACATTTACGAGGGTACACCACAACTAAAAAAATGAAGTGATGTTTTGTAGTTTGCCGTCAGTTTGGCAGGTCAGCCATCTTTTGTTGTGCAATAAAATGCCTGCACATTTTGCTACTTTTGTTTGCAAAACACTTTGAATTTTGCTCATTATACATTTATTAAATTAAAAAATATATATATTTAAATTCTAGATTTACAAACATTTTGACACATTTTTTTTGCGGCTAAGAAATAACTAGTAACTGTTATTGAAAATATTGGCAGGGCAAGTAAAAATCTGAACCACTGGTCTGATCGGGCAAGTAGAAAAAATCCTTAGCATTAAACCCTGCTAAAATTGTATAAACAATATCAACATAAGGACATACTGAACACATAATGAAATAAAACATGGATAATGAAATAAAATAAAGTACATAATAAGGCTGGGCGATATGGCCTTTTTAAAACAATCACCAATTTACAATTTTAATTGATCCCCTCCCAGGAAAAAAAGCTTGGAGTTTAACCAAAATATATATTCTTCATAATTCTAATTAATTATAGGATATAACAATGCTCAAGAAAAATGCTGTTATTTAAAGATTAAATGTAACAAGATCTATTTACAGTTGTAACCAAGACATATATAATAATGATCATTTAAATTAAACCGTTTTATACAATTACACTGAACAATTACAGTATGATAGTTAAAAGGGGACCTTTTTTCAAGATTATTTATATTATTTGTTTATTTAAAAAAAAACATGCAATTCAGAGGTATTATCATGTTTATTTTGTGTTACATTAGTTCATATAAAGTACTTCTATTAGGCCAGTGGCCTGTATTGTATTGCTTTAATTTGTGTTGAGTCACTGCATCTGGTAAATCAGTCTAGTGCATTGAGCGAGTTTGTCAGTGTTGATATTGAAAAGTACTGATCGTTTTCTGGTCTTTCTAGATCAGGGGTGGCCAACCCTGTTCCTGGAGAGCCGCCTTCCTGCAGATTTCAGTTGCAACCCTTATTAAACACACCTGCCTGTAATTATCACGTGGTGTTCAGGTCCTAATTAATTGGTTCAGGTGTGTTTGATATGGGTAGCAAATGAAATCTGCAGGAATGCGGCTCTCCAGGAACAGGGTTGGCCACCCCTGTTCTAGATCATGTACTTTATCCAAAAACAGCAACATTGGATTTCAGCATCCAACTGTTCCTTTCATATGCGCAACTTCTCCATTAAATGTTTTATCTATTACTTCTTACTGTGAGAAATACATGGTGTGGCCCGCAGTTTCAAATGTGTGTGTCTAACAGGGAATGCGTGACTTAGAGCCCTGAATTATGCAGTTTATTTGGCGGGTGTGTTTGTGCGTCCTTGTTTTTTTTTTTCCACTTCAAAGAGTGCAATATTTCTCCAAGTTCTTCCCTGCTCGCTGACGCTGCCATGTTGTTGTATGTTTCAATAGCAAATGCGGTGGGAGACTACAGAAATCAAACAAAAAAAAGGTAAATAATAATGTTGCTTAGCAACAACTAAAATTGTGCAACCTGTATCACACACTAAACTAAAATACATTTGCTGGAACAAAGACACAGTCTAAATCTGACAAGAAAACATGTTCTTGGACATATTTCTAAATGGGTCCCACGTTTTATTAAACTGGTCAAATTGTTCCAACTTTAGGAAGAAGACATCATGTGTTTCTGATACTTTCATCTAAGCAATATTAGTCATTTAGATCGGTACTTAAAGTTTTTATATACCTACTTACTGTGATTAAAACTTGCGTACAATACAGTTTAATATGATCGCCTGTACAAAAGTCATGTATAATTTGTATACATATTTTAACAATGTGAGAAGTTGCGTGTAAACTTAGTCAATGACAGAATTTTTTCTCAGAACTAAATTTGATCTTCTTATTTTTCCAATTAATATAATCATTCTTGGACTAAATGTGTATTTAAAAGACTTGGTGTGTCCTGATCTTTATTTAACCATTTGTTTAACTCATTGATGTTGTGATGTATACATTTTGGTGTATAAATAATGATGATAAAAAAAATTATAACTAAAAGAAATGTAGAAATAACCAGAAAAATGTAATCAAGGCTGGATTAACTGAGAGTAAAATAACAGCAAAGTTGGCGCATATACCTTATTGTTCCTGCTAGCAGTGGGTTAAAGGCATACAGCCAGTCGTTCATGTCTTTGTCATTGTTGGCCTGAAGCAGGATTCCTCTGTGTTTGGTGCACATGGCAAATGTATGAGGCGTCTGCAAAGCATGTAAAACAAGCACAATCAGACATTCAGCTGACATGTATGGTAATAATGTAGTTGATTTCCAGACAGCGAGTAAGGCTTTACCTTGAGCATGGCCTGCTGGTCTTCACTGTACTCCACCTGTGCAGTGGATAAGTTCAGCACTCCTCTCTCCACAGGGTCCTTGTCATTGTTGTAGATGAACACATACGGCCGACGCACCACCACAAAGTGCTTCACCCAGGTGTTCGAGCGGGGCTCCATGAAATTCAAGATGCCCTTCTTGGACACCACAGACCTGCAGCAGAAATGGTCAGTTCACAACATTTTTAACGTGTTTAGCTACAGTTTAACTCCACTAGTCTTAATTAGACACTGCAGGCAAAACACTTATCTTGTCAGTTTTGAGATTTTAGGCTTTTTGGCATGTCATAGAGTGTTTTTTTTCGGTTGATTGGAAATAAAAGAAAATGTAAAAAAAACTTTTAAATGTTTCCTTTAGCACACTACCAATGTGTGTCTGTAGATTTCCATTACTATACATATATTTTTATATAAACCATTTTGAGGGATGTAAATAATGATAATGGTCCTAACATATTTCATGCGTTACATTTTTAATTTACATAGCTTCCGAGAATCCCAAAAGGTCCAAATATTGATTAATAATTTTATGGCAGCTGTTGTAACATTACGTTATGATTGCATTGCCTTTTGTTGGAGTTTGTGGACAAGCAGGAAATGTTCATGGGCCAATGACATCACAACATAAAAATGGTCTATATATATATATATATATATATATATATATATATATATATATATATATATATACACACACATACATAAATGTAGTTTAATACAGCTGCATTCAAATGTATATAATAATAATAATAATAATAATAATAATAATAATAATAATACAATTGTAAATATATATTTTTGCTGATTATAAAAAAATGTATTCAACTAAACATTGTGAAAAAAATGTTTGGCAGTGTTTTCTGAATTATGGAGAGGTAATAAGTAATACTGTAAAAACCTTGGAAGTCTAATGTGAGAAAAAAATTCTGAAAAACAAAAATTCTGACATCTGTGCAAGTAATGTATGCAAATGAATGCCTCATTTGCATATTACATATAAAATTGTAAAAAACTTGCAAGAAATCACCGATATGTAAACTATTAATCTAGGGAAGACTGTCGACAACTAGTTCTTTTGTTTTTACAAAACACCTGCAGTGTCTTGCCTTAAACACAATACTAAATCCAAAAATATCCAAACCCTCACCCAGGCCTCATTTCCTCTATGTTAGGCACAAGGTTGAGGAACTCGTGTTTGCCGGCGCGGGCCAGGTAGGACGTCTCCAGAATGGGCACCATGGGGAAGTTCTCATAGTCTGAGCCTGAGGGGCTGGTTGCACGAGAGTTTGCTTCAGGGGTCCTGGATAAAACAGAGGATTGTAGAATATTTGACTTTTTGAAGCTTGTAATTTGAAGTAATAGTGCTTTTGCGTGTGAAGTGTGTACCTGGAGTCTGAGAGCGAGGGGCAGGTGGAGGAGGGTGTGAGGGTGGCACTGCTGAAACTACTGACTGATGGATCCCGACCCATAGGAGAGATATCTGAAAACTGATACACACACCGTTTTATTCAAGATTATCAAAGCTGATATGTTCCAATTCAAACAAAACTGCATTTTTTATATTGTTTTAGTCCAAGTTACCTTGCAGTCACTAATGCTGTTGCACATTTGGTTGTATTCACTGTTGAAAGTGTGTGTCAGGAGACGGAGGCACTGTAAAAGAATTAACACACATATGCATGTCATGGTTTTCACAAAACTGTAAGTATACTTATCTTCAATAAGAGTTACAGTTATTTTCAACTGCTTTCACATGTTTTCAAAACAGTGTCCCCTTTTTTACAAAACTCTACACACAATTCTCAAAACTGCACACACAAAATGCAAAATGCCTCACATTTCCTTCAAAATGTTACACTGCATTCAAAATGTCATAAACACATCAGAATGAAACATTTGCATTAAATGGCAAACACTTCTTTCATAATGTAACACTTTTGGACACAGCATGTAAACACTTTTGTTCTAAATCTAAAGCTCTTAGCTCTTTATAGGCTGATATCTACAATTCAATACAGTGACGGTAATATATTGAGAGGGGGAACAGGTACACTGTAAACACCAATGCAATGAAGAAACAAAAACTGTTTATCAGGCCAAACATTACTGGTATAAACAGCATACAAAATGTCCATTTCCTACAGGAGCATCATGCAGGCATAGGTTTACCCATCATACACTTTACAGCACTGGGCTCAAAAGAATTTCTCTGTTTTTTTTTCTAGGAAGTTAGGATTTAGAAAAGGTGAATATGTGCTATGTACATAATCACAAATTTTGGATGGGTGGAAAAACAGTTTTTTTTTTGGACCAGAATAGCCCAGTGTCCCATTACCTTTGGCCTATAATAGACTAAATCAGTGATTGTTTAAAGATCAGTTAAGAAATTAGTGTTTGCACATGTGAGGAGAAAGAGAGAGCTTTTGTGTGTGTGTGTGTGTGTGTGTGTGTGTGTGTGTGTGTGTGTGTGTGTGTGTGTGTGTGTGGTCCAGTGGATAAGTGTGGTATTTTGATTGGTTGTGTTTGGAAAAAGAAAGTAAGTGGTTTCTCGTTAGAGTTTTGTGTTTTAGGTAGAGAATTGTGTGTAGAGTTTTGAAAAAAAGAGTTTCATGCCAATGAAAACCAAGTTCAAGGCTGAAAAATAGCTTCTGGTTTTGGAGATTTGCAGCATAGTTTTGCATTTTGAGTGAGATGTTTCAGAAATCGTGTGACAAGAAAAGATTTTGTGTGTAAGCAGTTGGAAAATAACTGTAATGATAAGTGTCATCTGCACCAAGTCAGTGTAATTGATTGATTTCTGACATGATTTAAAAATGCAGCAAAGCCTGATAATAAAAATCCAGCTTAGTACAATTTAAAATATCTAAAACAGAAAACTATAAACATGCATTTGATCTAAATACAGTACAAATAAAAATATTTATTGTATTTAAATAACAAATACATAAATTCTTAATGATCATAAGAGACAGAGAAAAAAAAAGAAAAAATATATATATTTATTTATTTAATATAAGTTTTTACTCACATCAAACTTTTATATGGCTATTATTAGACTATAATCCATTCAACCATTTGAATTATTGTAAAAATAACTTGGACACTACTTTGTAGAGATTTTGTGGCTTTGTGGCATCACAAACATGGTAAAATCCAGCAAAATATACAACGAAAATGAGAAATATAGATTTTTAAGCAAACTAAATGAATCATTGGATTCCATTGATTAGAACACTTATGCTGATGAAATATCCTCTAATGACACTGGACTGAAATGATTACATTTACAGGCCACTGTATCAGAAAAATCTACTCGGCTATATCTAATCAGCCAATCACATGACAGCAACGTGATGCATTGAAGCATGAAGACAGTCAAGATGATACTGCAGTTCAAACTGAGCATCAGAATGAATAAGAAAGGTGATTGTTGCTGGTGTCAAACAGGCTGGTCTGAGTGTTCCAGAAACTGCTGATCAGTCTGGATGTTCATAAATAGCCATCTCTAGTGTTTTACAGAGAGTGGCCAGAAGAAGAGAAAATCTCCAGCGAGCATCATTTCTGTGAGTGAACATGTTTTGCTGATGTCAGAGGAGAATAATAAGTGGCACTTACCTTAGTGGCCAGCTCCTTCTCTCGATCCACCAAGCTCTCGATGTCCGTGGAGTCATAGCCGCTGCTTTCGCTGGGGGTGATGGCACTCTCGAAAGTTGTGGAGGAGATCTGGGAGGAGATGCTGGTGGAGGTGCTGAGGGTCCCGCTGCTCAGGCTGGGGGACAGAGACTCGCTCAGAGATTTAGGTGGAGGTGTTTCTCCCAGCTTCTCACGCAGCAGAAGCAAGTGACGCGTCTTTTCCACCTGGCAAACACACGCACATGGAGATGAGGGTCTGGAGATTACAGATAAGCACAGGCAGCCTAGAGCTTGGTTTTCTTTTCTAGTGTCCTCACCTCATGCAGCTGCTCCATTTTGTCCAGCTCCCACTGGTGCTCCAGGATCAGACTGTCTCCTCGGGGTCTCCAGCCGGCCAGATTCTCCTCTCCACGCACATATGCCACTGACGTGTCCAGAACCTTCCGTCTGCGCCGCTGCATACCTGACAACAAACAGCCACAATGAGTCACACAGAAGACCTAATAATATACACAATAATCGCTGAACAGAATATTGTCACTTGTGCAGTTCTTCAGAATTTCAAACACCAAATGTTAGTAGTTTTAGGAAAGGTTTACCTGGGCTTCCGGTGTCTGCTATCTTGCACAAGCTCAGCTCATAGACTCCAGTCACTTTATTACTACAATGGAAACATCAGAAAACATTTAGCAAAGGTTCTTTTGTTTTTTAAACAAAGCAATTTGAAGACTAAGCGGAGAGAAGACTTTTTAATGAAAATTTCATGTGCAATGAAAATTTGAAATGAAATTTTACATTTACCATCAACATTATTTTTTGACCAACATCAAGATGTTAGCTTTAGCATTTTAGCTTACCGTCTCTTCCCTGCCTTACACAACCAAAAAGTGGAATTTATAATATGTGTTTATTAATATGACCTATAATATACGCTAGCATAATGTAATATACATTGAAATGTTTTAGCTTGAATTTAATTTTGCAGCACTTTCATAGCCCCTATCAGATCAACAGGGGATAATTTACCTCTTAACCTACAAACCTTTAACATTTAACTTTTCTGTCATCTACTTTGTAAATTTACTTTGTGTTGGTGTATCAGAACAGATGTCACTGCAGCATATTTATGAACAGGACACATTAAGACATGCTAAACAAATTGTATGTGACTTATCACATGTTCTGCATAACGAGTATGAGTTGTTACTTTTAGGGAAAAGGTTTAAAGTACTTTGCTGATGATTAATAGATATAAAAACTCTTTTTATCTGGTTAGCATTAAGCTATTAAATAGTGGTGGCTTAGACTAGTTGTATTTTATGGTTGTTTATTTAGGTGTATTTATAGAGGTGGGTATGTAACTTTTTGGAGGTGAGAGTCTAATTTTTTTATATACTCGTTTGTTTTTTGTATGTTTGTATTGTTTTTTATGTATGTGATGACTGCAGCTGAGGGCAAGAGCTCAAGACAAATTTCCCTAACTGGGACAATATAGTTTCACCATCCTTACCTACATACCTACCTAAAACCCAGTCATTTTGAATCCAAAGCTCCTAAAGTTAATGTTATCTTTACATGTCAGCCTTAATTAACAGGTAAAGTTTGATGACTGTATTTGACTTAAATGCCAGCTGATAAGTGTGAAATTAATTAAATGGAGGTAATATATATATATATATATATATTATCATAACAATAGGTGTGGTATATATATGGTATATATATATGGTATAGATCAGTGGTTCTCAAACTTTTTTCACTAAGTACCACCTCAGAAAAACAGTTGTCTATCCAAGTACCAACATAATAACTGGTATTGAAATACAGTAGCATAATAGGTCTAATTAATTAAGCATCTGCAGCTCTGCACAGTTCAAAAACATAGCAAATTAATTATTATTATTTTTTTTTTTTTTATTGTCAGCCACTTTAAACATTAGAAATAGTTTGAACATTAACACTGTACTGTGCTTACAGGTAAAAAATAAATAAAACTTTAAAGTTTAAATTAAAACGTTCTTTTAAAAGTTTTAAAATGTCATTTAAAATGTCACTGTTCTTAAAAAGTGAAAAGTAAACCACTGTACTTAAATGTAAAGTATTATCATAAAGAAGCCCATTCATCAAAACCTGGAAATGTTCCTTTGACCTCATAAAAACAGTCTATATGTCATCATATTTATATATAAACTCTTTTTGATAAATTTTAAAATATATGTTGCATTTATATACAGTTTGACTTATCTAAACATTAACTTGTTTAAAATATATGAACTGGATTTACATATTTAAATTAGAAATTAGATCCGCTTACTGCGCATTAGAGTAGGCTTTGTGGGTTAGAAAAGCAAGTAAATAAATTACACCTGTCATCATTGGGATGTAAAAATACAGGATACTCCCCCAACAACCGTTACCAATATGGGGGGGAAATTAGTTTCAAATGATTGAATTCATAACAAACATTAGAAGTTTAGCCTATTGAAATCATATAACTGATCACACCGGTGTTATAGTATCCGTAAAAGGGTTAAAAGTGTGTTTGTTTTTTTACTTAAATTTTTCAGCGATTCCTCCACGTACCACTAGAAGGAAGCCTGCACATGGAAACTAAAATTTAAAGTGACAAACAAAAATCCCTGATAAATTCAATACTATCTCTCGACAATTTGTAACTTTTGCTTTAGTGGCTAATTTGTATGAATTTGTACAATCTAATTCATACAATTTAGTACGATTTGCTCATCCCTCAAGGTTTGGTGCCATGCCTTTTTTTAAAAATCCGACATTTTTGCACAACTGAACTCGTACAACTTTGTGTGAGTTAGCGACTGAACTGACAAAATATAAAATAGTTACATTTTCTTGTGAGATCAGGCTGGATATTCCATGACTTGAAAAATTTTTTTTCCTAACTTTTAATTTTAGGAATCAACATTTTATAATTCCACAAAATTCCATGACCTGTTGAATTTGCATGTGCATATGAATGCAGAGTTAATTTAATATCACTGAAAATGTTTTTGAATTTTTATTTTTACCAGTCCGGGGTTTTGGAGTAGCCGCTGCCAAACAAGTTTCTCAGCGAGCGAGGAGGCGAGATCTTGGCATCTCTGGAGTAGAAGACCATACAGATGTCCTTGGTGATGATAGCAGGCTGGATGCAGTGATCGAGCTGCAGAAGCACATACTGTACAAGTCAGTAACACATACGGTGGTTACAGCTTTCCCTTTAATACACTGAAAGAGTCAGAGCTGACCTCCAGATAGGCAGACAGGGTCATGTAGATCTTCTCTCCGTATGGAGTGACGCGGTTCAGTAGGAGAGAGTTGTGCAGAGAACTGTCCCACACGGCCTCAAACCGGTAGAACGTCCTAAACAGGCAGAAATAGAACATTATAGAAACTACATAAAACAATAGGATCATCTCTCAGAAATCTGCTGGTGCTGAAGTGATTAGTTGTTCACTATTGTTTGAGTGAGAATGTGATTAAAAGGCAACATGAAATCATATTTGCAAGCCCTTTCATATCTGAAAATTAATAGAATTACAAAATAAGAGGCACAGAGTTTATTTACAGTGCTCAGCATTTACAAGCACACCCCTCACAAATCTATCTTTTAAATTCATATTTTTAATATGAAGCTATAGAATATTATATTTGTGGATATACATTAAATTAGACAGAACTGAAGCCAAATCTGGAGCTTACCTAACAAAATAACTTACGATAACTGTCATAAACAAACTAGTACACCCAAATTTATGTTATAGGAAAATATTAAATACAAATTTTACAAATAAGAAAAAAAAGTAAGAGAAGCAAAAAATATGAAAAATTTAGTTGGGTTGGGTTTTGTGGGTTGAAATTTATTTTAGCAATATTTTTGCTTGAATTTAATTGTATTATCTTTCAATTTCTAAATACGTTTGGTGACTAAAATATTATTTTAATAAATATATCTGTTTGATAAATCTGTTTTGTTTAAATGTACCAAAATACATTGCCTATATTCTCTGAGAAATGGATAAAAATACTAATTTTCAAAATGGAGTGTTCTCAATTATGCTGAGCACTATAGTCATCCAACAAGATCATAGAGAGTAGCATTGTTTATTACACTACTGTTCAAAAAGTTTGAGCTGTTTAGCGTTTTTAATAAATATTTCATATAAATTTAAAACATTTTTTATGCAAGTTTGTTCTAAATATTTAATTTTTTATATTGTTATGAATGATTATTAATTTTGTAGTTTGGTCTATGAAAAACAGATACTATAGATATGCTTTATATTTGTTTTTATGTAGTTTTTGCTGCTTTTTCACTTAATTATAATTTAGTGAATCTATAATTCTGTTTCTACAACAATTTTAAACAGCAGCAGTGTCTATTTTTAACATTAAAACAAAATATAAAAATGTTTCTTAATGATCAAATCAGCATATTTAAAAATAAATAAATAAATAATTCACTGAAGACTGAAGTAAAGGCAGCTGAAATTCAGCTTTACCCGACTGCATTTTAAGATATAAAACAAACTAATCTTTTGAATAATAGTAATACTATTTGATTGGACTATTTTTTATGAACTAAAACAGTCTCAGTGAGTCTTACTTGAAAAGCTTTCAGAAATCACCAAACGTTATGAACAATAATTTACATAATTTGACCAAAATTCAATTCATTTTACCTCCATACTTAACGCATGACAAATAATTCTATATTAGGAAAGTAAAAAGACTTGATCTTGATTTCATGTTGACTGCAAACTCCACATATGACAGTGCAGTTGTGTAAGCACTAGTCTATATACTAGAGTAAATAACGTTGAGCTAGCGGATGTGCTACAATGGACAGGCAGAGGTGTAATGGTTCTCTGTCTAAACAGTGTGTTGATGTGCTGGAGTCACAGTGATGAACACGACACTACAGCTGTCAGGTGCTGCATTAGTGATGTATGTGAGCTTGAAGCAGACCATCTGTGTGTGTGTGTGTGTGTGTGTGTGTGAGACTCGGGTCTACAGTGTTTATATGAACAGACACGTGGAGAGAAAGACTGATGCAGGTGACTCATCCTCCTCTCTCGCCTTCATTTCACACTTACAATGGCATACAGATACACATACGCATATCTTGTATTCAATTGTTATTGTTATTATTAGAAATTTTATATTTTCTAAAATTGTTTTATTCAATATATATTTTAGCACATTTTTAGTATTTTATTTTTAAATGTAGCTTTTATAAAGGCACATCTGTATATTTTAGTTTTCTATTTTAGTTTTTTTAGTTTTTAATTAAACAATGAAAGTGAGAAATTATCTGAAGCAGCTACTTTAAAAAAAAAAATGTATATATATATATATTTATATATATATATATATATATATATATATATATATATATATATATATATATATATATATATATAATTTTTATATTTATAAAAATGAACAATAATAATGTATTGTCATTATTTTTTTTTTATTCAAACCATCTTCTCAAAATGTGTCCAAATAAGTTGTCATAGAAAAAAATCTGCTAGCTTAAACAGAGAAAAAGTTATGGCCAAATTAAGACATATTCACCCCAGAGTTGATAAAGACATCCCCAACAGTACATAAGGTTTAATAATGTATGTAATGTTTAATGCTTAATATATTATCAGATTAAAACATCATTTAAATGTCTAGTATAGATTGATTTTGCATGTACCAATACTTCAATGTAATTTTTTCAATGTAGAATGAGTAAAGAGAGAAGCAGAAAAAACACAGACACAAAAGCACAAGTCTGCTACTGTTACACCTACAGATCACAAATGAGCCATAAAGCACTTTTAACGTAAAAATGCTTTATGAGCAAGAGCTTCTGATACCTAGAAATATCGCTATCAATACAAAGGCTGAGCAAAACCAAGAGTCCAACCGCAGCAGGAAGAAAAACCAGAACAAAAGAGAGACAAAACAAGCAGAAACAGTCAGGCAACACAAATAATCAAAAAGACTGAAAGCAGCATTCAGAAAAAACAGGCAAAGGAAATAAACCAACAAACAAGAGAATAAAATAAGCACTTTACAATAAGGTTGTATTAGTTAACATATTAACTAACATGATCAAAGAATGAACAATACTTTTATTACAGTACGTATCGTCTTAGTTAACTTTAGTTAATGAAAATTAAGTTGTTCGTTGTTCATATTAACTCGCAGTGCATTAACTAATGTCAACAAGCATGAAGTTGGATTGTAATAATGTATTAGCAAATGTTCAACTATGATTGTTCATTATTAGTTCACGTCATTAAATAGATTAACTAGCATTAACTAATGAAACCTCATTGTAAAGTGCAACCAAAAAACACAACATGCACATTTAGAGTATAATAAATATAGATTTTGTCTGTAGTCCACAAGGTGTCTCTGATGCTCCTGCAGGATTGCTTGTGTTTTACTGACGGCAGCAGTGACTCATGTTCAACACACTCTCCTGAATCAGAAGCAGTTCACTTCAAGCATTTGTATTAGAGAGAGAGCACAGTGTGTTTGCAGACCTTTTTTTCTGTTTAAAAACAGACGAGCTGCTTCTGATACAGAAATTGAGGTTCATACATGATTTAATAGACCCTTTATTCGAGGAAGGTGCTGATGTTGTTAGATTTTGGAAGGTGAACGGGAACGAGATGTACCTGCTGGAGTTGTGGGAGGATTTGAGGTTTTTAGCTGAGATGATGTTGAGAGACAAGACGGCGTCTGCGGCTGAATCATCCACTTCTGGCTTATTCCTGATTCGACCTACAAAACACACACACAATGTCAGTGATGGTTGTGGCCTTTATAATAGGTTTTAAAAAAAAGCTCTTAATGCAGATATTCAATTTTCTTGTTGCGATTAACTGCTGAAGCTTTTATCACGGTAAAATACTGACTGATTTTGTCATCAATACAGGAAATTCAAACTTCGATACCTTGAAAAATATCAATATTCGATACCAATTTTCAATACCGTGGAATCAAATTCTGTAACATCAAAAGTATGCAAATTAAGTAATAAGCTGGTAAAAAAAACAATAACAACACCATATTACTTATATCAGGCACGTCAGCAGTCCTTAAGTCCCAAAAACAATAAATTACAAAAAAAAAATCTTATTTTATCATGTTATTTTAATATCATGTTATTTAAAATCTTATTATTATTATTAATTATTATTTCCATGCTGGTGAAAAGTCAGACTACTGTTATTGCCAGTATCGATAGTAAACAAAAGGAAAACTGAATCATTTTAAATACTTCAGTATCAACATTTATCAACATTTTTGACAATACTAGTACTTAACCAAGCAGAAAAGGGTTACTTTAACCAGTCTGATAACAAAAAATTCTTTAGTGCATTGCATTATTGTATATACATGCTCAGAGTAAACAAACGTTTCAACTAAAACTAAATGCAAAAGGATAATAAAGTACAATAGGTAGCACTTTACAGTTAGTTAGTAAACATTAGTTAATGCATTAAAATCAACAGTGTGAAAAAAACAGATTAATTACTATTCATATTGGTAAAATAAAAAAAAAACTATTGAATTTTACTAGTTAATTACTCCATTATTTAGGATTTTGACCACAATTTTAACACAATATTAGGAATTAACTAAGAAAGTACCATCAACTAAGATTAATTGAAGCTTTTGTAATTTAGTTTATTTCATGTAACTTATTGGAGCGGTGTTAACAACTTACAATATCCTTTTAAATTGTGACAGAATTTTCAGTCTATTATTATTATTATTATTATTATATTTCAGAATGTTGTACGCCATTAGCACGTGAAAATGTTTCAAAATTTCGGACCTAATTGTCACTGTTATGAAGACCACTGCAAATACAACCTGAATATTCTAAAAAACAATTATTACTATTCATAAAGTGCCCACGATACATCAACATTGTGTATGTTTATTATATTGATAAACTGACTTGTTAAATATTGTTATATGTCTGGCTAACAGCAGTTGGAATGTGTACTGACCGACCACCAGCTCTCGGACGTCCTTCCAGTGCAGCTCACTTCCCTTCTCATGGATCAGAGTCACTGTTATTCTGCGCTGGATGCCCTGAAAACAAACCGCACACAGGTTTACTCAAAGCAATCTGAATTTGAATCATTTATATGTCCTTGGATGAGGACACTGAACATGATCCTTTGGCTAAACTACAGATTTACTGACTGCAACTACAGAGAGAATTTAATATTCATCGAAAGGAGAGACAGAAAAGTCATGCAGCAAAGCAATGAACAAATCTATCAACATTTAATGCATCGATAACAGAATTTAATATTCAAATGCAATTAGAATTGCATCTATTTTTCCATTATCCTTCCATCTTATAAAATATATTTCCATTCATCCATCAATATAATGTTCCATCAATCCTTTCATCTATCCATCATTCTATATATTAATAGCTTTCCCCCATCCATCCAATCTATCAATATATTTCCATCTATCAATTCCTCTATCCATCCATCATTCTATATATTACTATATGTTTCCCTCAATCCATCTATTCTATTAATATATTTTCATCCATCCATCCATATACATATATATTTTTTCATCCGTCCACCCATTAATCAAAAAATAATTCCATCCATTAATAGAGTATATTGGTTCATCCATTCCATTCATTCATTGTAGTCTTTCCATCTATCCATATCATCCAATATCTTTCTATCCATCCATCAATATATCTTTCTATCCATCCACCAATATATTGTTCTATCCATTCATCATCTATCATCATCCATATCTTTCCCTCCATCCATCCAATCTATCAATATCTTTCCATCCATCCATCCATCCATCCATCCATTGTTTCATCTATTCATCATCCATCCATCATTATATCTTTCCCTCCATCTATCCATCCATCCAATCAATCAATATCTTTCAATCCATTCATCCATCCATCCATCAATCAATATATTGTTCCATCAATTCATCATTCATTTATCATTCTACATATTAATATATTGTTCCCTCCATCCAATCTATTAATATCTTTCCCTCCATCTATCCATCCATCCATCCAATCAATCAATATCTTTCAATCCATTCATCCATCCATCCATCCAATCAATATATTGTTCTATCCATTCATCATCCATCAAACATTATATCTATTTTTATATCTTTCCCTCAATCCATCCATCCATTCATCAATCTATCCATAAATATATTGTCCCATCCATTTATCATCCATCCAGCATTCTATTTATTAATATATCGTTCCCTAAATCCATCCAATCTATCAATATCAATATCGACTCTATCCATCAATATATTGGTACATCCATTCATCATTAAATTATTCCATCCATTTATTGTCTTTTCATCCATCCATCCACCCATTCATCCATCCATCCATCCATCATCAATATGTCTTTCCACCTTTTCACCCATCATTTTTGGGTAAATTGTATCCACCATTCTCTCCATCAATCTTCTAATCTATTGAACCATTATAACACCCATCATTACATCCTATAAATTAAAGCATGTAAAGAAAAAATAGGTACCTGGTGCAGCAGGTATGTGCCATGACAGGGAAGACCTCCTGTATGATCCACTACTGCTGGAATATACCTACAAAAACAGCACAACTTACATGAAGAATTTCTTTGAGATGTTACTTACTGCTCGGGCTTGAGTAAAAAACATGTTTGAACCAGAAATTCTGTGTGTAGATATAACCTAAAGTAGACTTACTCTCCAGTGGGCTCCAGTTCGCTGATCTCAAACCAGGCCAGCAAGTCGTACTTGCTCACACACTGACCCAGGTTGGACTTGGTGATGGTGTTCAGTTTGGTGGCTGGCACTGCAATGAAAGTGGAATATTAATAGGGCACCATATGGTCGAGAAGACTAATTGCTGGACTAAAAAGGCCAGGTTTTATAAATATCCAATGTAAAATGCTGAACATGGCAGATGAACAATATGAGCATGAGTCGCATAATGTGAGCAAACACAAAGCATCAGCTCTAAGGAGGGTCATTATGTAGACTTTGGAAAATGGGCCACTAGAAACTGTACACCACATCAGGAAAATCAATACAGCCTGATGTAAAACTGTGACTCACTCTCCACTGTATTTCTACAACACAACTGGAAAGGAATTGTTTTGCTTAAGAATGAAGAAGAAAAACAAACCTGTCGAGGGAAGCTAGCAGGAAAACACCTAACGTGATTTAATTAGCACTACAGCTTTAAAGTAGCACTAACTGTCATTGCTGTCTACACCAAAGAGGGGAGATGACACAAAGCAGCTCATGGAAGAAAAAGCTTTTAACGCTTGTCGCTGGGATGGGGATTCTCTATATTTAAAAGAACATCTACTGGGATTGTATCATTGGGGTCACGGTACATTAAAACACAGCACAGAGCTGATCTGATCTACTCTGAACCAACCGTCGTGTCGGGGCACTCTGAAGACGGGGCAGTTGGGTATGGGGAGGAAGGGGAAGTGGCACAGCTCATATGCCCCTTCCTCCAGACTGGCCACGGCGGTGGAGGCCAAAGCGTTGGCATGCTCTGACAATGTGTCCAACACCTGACCATGAACATACCCGCTCATCAGGTAACGGATAAGCTCAATCTTACGAGCGTGATCTGAGCGGGCAGAGCCAGGAGGGGTGAAATGAAAAAGACAAAAATGGAGTTACAAGTGAAAGATATGGAAAGGACTGAGTTATAGGGACCTCAACAAATTATATTGTACATTTATTGTAACAATTTTTTTTTATTTTTCAAATATTTTCCAAATGATGTTTAACAAAGCAAGGAATTTGTCACAGTTTTTACCATAATGCTTTTTTTCTTCTGGAGATATTATTATTTGTTTTATTTTGACTAGAATAAAAGCATTTTTTCATACTAAAATAATCATTTTTAAGGTCAATATTATAAGCCATCTCATTGTCAACAGAACAAACCATGATTTGCCTAATTAACCTAGTTAAGCCTTTAAATCGCACTTTAAGCTGAATACTAGTATCTTGAAAATATCTAGTAAAATATTATGATGAAGATAAAATAAATCAGTTATTAGAAATAAGTTGTTAAAACTAATAATAGTTATATATATATATATATATATATATACACACATGACCCTGGACCACAAAACCAAAAAAGTCTTACGTTGTACTATTCGTGCAAAAACTCTATTTTACTTAGTAATATGCATTGCTAAGAACCTATTTTTGGACAAATTTAAAGAAGATTTTGCTAAATATTTTATTTGTTTGAGCCCTCAGTTTCCAACTGTATCTTGGTCAGATCTTGTCCTATTCTAAAACACCATACATCAACGTAAAACTTCTTTATTAGTGATGTATTGACATTTTAGACTGGTTTTGTGGTCCAGGGTCACATGTACAGTATATACATTTTTCATTAGTATATAATAATATCGTATTCTAAACTAAAAATGTAATTGTAATTTTTTATTTTAAAAAGTTAATTAAATTATTAAAATAATTAAAATATTTAATTCATATTTCTATGGTAAAGTAAAAGATAATAGTAAACAAAATGTTTATATATAGATAAAATTTATATATACAAAATACATAATATATAGACAATGGCAACAACTTTAAATGTAAAATATAATATATTTATATTATACTTATATTCCCACAACCCGGCCCCAGATAAGTAAATAATAATGGATGGATGGATGGATGGATGGAATCATAATTATATACCCATTGTATTATATCATTTTAATATTAAGTTAGAGATAATGGCGGTTGATATCGCAGAATAAATCTTGACAGGACTAAAGGGCCTTATTCTATGAAAACAACCACCTGGATGTAAATTATCCCACTTATTACTCGGCTACTTTATACAAAATCAAACTATTAGACAAAACTTTGATTATAATAGCTTAACTAAGTTAAATAATTATAATAGTTTAAGATGGCATCAAACAATCAAGAACAATAGCACGACAGATAAACATAAATAAACATATTAGTCAACAGTCAAGGTGATTCATAATATCCAGGTGAGCCTGCAGTTGTTATCTGGCAATAACATACCTTGAAATGTTGTAATTGATCAATCAAAATGAATTATTATCACATATGCGCATACACACACACAAAAAAAACATATAATCTGCCAAAACATTTGCATGTATAGCTTCACTACATGAATTTAAAAATATAAAAGTGTTTTCTAAATACATGCCTGAATGTTAGCTGGAGACTCTCTATGAATGAGGTTGTTTATGTACGACTCTGCATCTACAATCTATAAATCCCCCAAAGCGCTACAGCTTTTTCAATTATCTCCAACTGAGCTGTAGCACCTCCAGATTCATATCGCCATATAAAAGACTGACAGCTCAGCCTAAACATCAATACAGCGTCAGGATGGATGACACTTCAAGGCCGCAGCAGCCTTTCTTTTATTTTTGGGGTGCAAAGGAGATATTTGTCCTCCATCAAAGAAACAGGAGCGTCTGACAGCTGCGTCTCTCAAACTGACTGGACACATAATATGATCCGGAGGGTTTTTTTTTTTTTGGAGGAGAGATAACATACCAGACAAAAGAGCCCGAGATTATTCCTTGTTTAATGAATCATGTAATGAATTACACTAGTAATTAGAGGGGAGATAAAGGAGCATGTATTTGCTCCGGGCTATGATTATTCAAGGAATCTACTTTATTGTGACTTGTGCAAATGTGAGACCCATGAAACTGACTTAATGAACATGTAATGTCCTTGATTAAGATGAATGAAGATGTGATTATACCTGGTTTAGACAGAGGCATTGGTGGAGGATAGTACTTTCTGGAAGGCTGAGAAGGGCTACAAGAGAAGCAGATAAATTAAGTCAGACATAGAAAAGGGCAGAGCCACATCATTAGGATTAATTAGGATTGTGGAAACTTTTCATGTTATGCCTTTTTTATATTTACAAGATTTAAGATTGGCTGTAGAGCAACCTAAAATAGTCCTGTTCAATTATTTATTTTATTAGTAGATCAGTTGTAACAATTTAAAGGAATATTCCAGGTTAAAATCAAGCTCCATCAACAGCATCTGATGTTGATAACAAAATGAAGAAAACACACACACACACACACACACACACACACACACACATATATACATATATACATATACACACACACACACACACACACACACACACACACACACACACACACACATATATATATATATATATATATATATATATATATATATATATATATATATATATATATATATATCATAGAGACTAGAAGAGCAGAAATAAACACAGACAGTTGTGGACAGTTTTACATTTTAAAGTCATTTGTTATTAGACTTGGATCAGCAACAATGGTTATTTACCAGGCAAAACAGAGTAATATAAAGGACAATGTGGTATTCATGTTGTATACTATAAATTAAACTATAATTTTATTCCCATAACTGCAATTCATTTGAAATAAAACGTATATTAGATTAAAATGTCAAAATTAGAAATGATCCCATAGCAACTACATGAAATAAATAGGTTTAAAATCACTAAAACTGAAACAAAAATGTATTTATTTATTATTTCATGGCAAACTGGATATACAACAAAATATTACATGATAAAAACAAATTCATATTACAATAAAAAGATACTTAGACATATATAAAATATAAATAAATATAATTTACACAAAAATATATTTAAGGTTAAATATGATTTTTCAGTTCAATTTTTGATAAATAATTTAAGATTCCTCCTGGTGGTACTTTTTAAAAAAATATCCAAAGTACTCTCCTTATAAAAATTTTGTCTAATGGTATTCAAATAAACTGAACAAGAAATAAAAGTAAAACAGTATATGATAATTCATAAAATGAAAATGTAAATTTAAGTAAAAAAATGACATCAATAGAATATGACAAAAAAATCTAATTTAAAATATTACTACATACTATAATATTATATAAATAAAAATATGACTAAAACAAAAAATATTTTGTGACATGCATGATAAAGTTGATCAAATCTGTAACACTGGACAACACTGATAGCAGGATGTTACCTGACCACATCCTGTCCATGAATGTGCAGTGGGTGTTGCTGGTAATGGCCAAACACTTCAAATACAATTGGCTTGGTCTTTATGTACTCAATGAAGGACTCTGTCACCTCCACTGAGATCTGGATAAGAAAAGTGAAAAAATAAATCCACAAAAACATTCACATTTCCTGTATTGCCTGTAAGAACATGTACAATATTGTATCCAAATCAATTATGCAAATATTGTTTTTATAATTTAGATTTTTTTTTCCAGAAAATGAATAACAAATATGATAAATAATGAATATGATGTGCCTTCTGTTACAGAATTATTGGATTAATTATTTTACAATTATGTCTAAGGTGTTGCAGGTAAATATAGACCCATCCCATGATGTTGCCATTTTTGGGGTTCCAAAGATTTGGTCCCAGTTCAATTCTAAACAACTTGTTGTTTTGGCTTTTACCTCATTATTAGGTAGGCATCATATTCTGCTGCAATGGAAATCAAATAAGCCTCCAACTACATCCCAATGGTTTGTAGATACCATGCATTTTCTAAAGTTGGAAAAGGTTAGATGCACTGGGAAAACTAATTTCTTTAAAAAATGGCAATGTTTTATAACTTATTTTAACTCTCTTAAGTTTTTGCCTTCCATTTAATAGATGCACTCTCCTTCTATTTTATTTATTTATTTTTAATGTATTTATTTTTGTTTGTTTTTAACTATTACTATTTTATATCGTTTAATTGTAAATATTTACTTTCAGCATTGACAATGTACTTAAACATTTAATTGTGATAGTTGGTTGTAATTTTCTGTACATTTTTATTACTCTTTTTTCCATTTTTCTTTTCCCATTTTATTAATATTATCATTATTATTTTTTAGCTTTTTTCCCTTTGTTATTATTAGTTTTTTTCTTCTCTTTTGTAAAAAAGCAACAACAAAGATAATCAAATGTAACTATTTGTACTGATATAGTGTTTGTTTTTTACAAAAAAAATTTAACAAATGAAAAAAACGTGAAAATAAATGAATATAAAACTGAATAACAAACATGATAAATGAATCTGAAAACAAATAACAAATATGCTAATAAATTTATATGAATATGGATAAAAATATGATAATAAATGTTTTCATTTGTTGCGATAAAAATTCTGGATTATTTTAGTATTTACTAAAACACTACAGAAAATGCAATGAACATGAAAGCATGACACCTTTTTTTTGCTATTTTATACAAATAAATAACTAAATAAATAAATAAATAATTTAAATAAATAAAACATTGACATATACAGTTGAAGTCAGAATTATTAGCCCCCTTTTGATTTTTCCTTTTGACTTTTCTTCTTTTTAAATATTTCCCAAATGATACGTAACAGAGCAAGGAAATTTTCACAGTATGTCTGATAATATTTTTCTTCTGAATAAAGTCTTATTTGTTTTATTCTGGCTAAAATAAAAGCAGTTTTTAATTTTTTAAAAGCCATTTTAGGGACAAAATTTTTAGCCCCTTTAAGCTATTTTTTTCTGATTGTTTGTAGAACAAACCATCGTTATACAATAACATGCCTAATTAACCAAATCTGCCTAGTTAACCTAATTAACCTAGTTAAGCCTTTAAATGTCACTTTAAGCTGTATAGAAGTGTCTTGAAAAATATCTAGTCAAATATTATTTACTGTCATCATGGCAAAGATAAAAGAAAACAGTCATTAGAAATGAGTTATTAAAACTATTATGTTTAGAAATGTGTTGAGAAAATCTTCCCTCTGTTAAACAGAAATTGAGGGAAAAATTAAACAGTGGGGCTAATAATTCTGACTTCAACTGTATACACATTTAGCCTAGTAAAATATGTCAATGAAGAGTCTCTATTAACAGCTCAGGGCCGGTTATTCCATCAAGGCATCTCAGTGTATGTTTTCAGCACTTACATTCTGTACGTGGTAAAAGCCCAGCGGGGCTCCTCTGCCAGTGTTCTTCAGAGGCTCAGTGCTGAACGCCTCATCGTGACGGTGGAGGAAACTGTTGGCAGCAGGAGACAGGATTACAGAGAGAAGCGTGACTCTGCGTTTGTGTGTGTGTGCGTGAATAAAGAGCAGTGAAGCGGTTGCGATGGCGACAGGCTGACTCACTTGAACTGGCAGAAGATGTCTGCGTATTCGGCCGGGATGCCGCTTGCCTGCAGAACGGTGACGCGGAAAGTGAAAATGCTGCCCACTTCCAGATGCTCGGCCAAACCGTCTCCCAGTTTTGTGTCCACGTTCCCCAGCTTTAGGTCTTTTAGACAAAAAAACACACGAGTTAAGAATATACACAGGTTTAGATGATTTTTTATCAATATTTCACTACATAGTTACAGTTGTTATTATTCTAGATGTTGGCTTTGATGGGATGCTCCTGTGAGTTTTACTGTGTAGAGCCATCTAATCCCTTAAAATATCCCCAAACCCATTTCTACTGAACAAATGATTAAATAAAACTAATAATTTATTAATTATTAAAAATTTTCTAATAAACTATGCGGGCGGTGCAGTGGCACAGTGGGTAGCGCTGTCGCCTCACAGTAAGAAGTTGGCTGTGTTGAGCCTCGGCTGGGTCAGTTAGAATTTCTGTGTGAAGTTTGCATGTTCTCCCCATGTTGGCGTGGGTTTCCCCCACTAGTCCAAATACATGCGCTATAGGTGAATTGGGTAGGGTAAATTGGCCGAAGTGTATGTGTGTGAATGACAGTGTATGGGTGTTTTCCCAGTGATGGATTGCATCTGCTGCGTAAAATATATGCTTGGATAAGTTATAATAATAATAATAATAATAATAATAATAATAATCATCATCATCATTTAATATTTTTAATATTATTATTAAAATAGGACTTTTTACCATTACCTAATAAATAATAAATATTAAATTTAATTTCTTAATAATAGCCTCATTATTTATTTATGTATTTATTTATTTATATGATTTATATATGATATTAGAATACATATTAGCTTTTTGCAAGTGATTTTATATTGTAGAATAGAATATGTAATGTTCTCAATAATATTTGTAAAGGAAACATAATCACTAAATGTGCCATTTACATATATTTTTTTAATGTATGTGCGTGTAAAACTATATCATTTGAACAAAGAAATTATGGGGTTCTTCTCTAAAGAAGTTGTTTACACCCCGTTTAGAGCATTGTTATGGACGCTTTACATTATAACTAAAGTGGTTCAAATGATGGATCTATGACAGAGAAACTATGGGTTTTGGGAAACACTCGTCACTACATCGTTCTTTTCCCAAACGATGCATCGTACTATGATAGTTCAGCCGCGAGTTATGTTGTTGTTTAGAAAATGCACTCCAGGTTGATAATTATTTCACATTTTAATAAGCTTTGTAAATGTGTTTCAGTGGTCCCTGTACCACTCTCACTGACCAGTTAAACCTGCAAAAGGATCAGTTTTGTTTGAGAGCTTTCGGGTCACTGATGCAGTGTAAATCAAATGCTGCATACCACAACACAACAGAATAGTCTGTGCGTGTAAGCATTTCCTTTCAGACAGACTGAACGTTTAGTTGCATCCACACTCACCCATTTCATTGATTCTGTTCATCTCCTCTGAAGGCGTAATGACCTCTGAACTCTGACCTTGACCTTCTACAATGCGCAGCTCCTCCAGAGAGAGACCAGAGCGGGTCATGGCCACTGAGGTGAAGTCATTCTGAATGGGGAAAATGTACAAGGGTAAAGAAAGGAAATAAAAAAGGCAGCAATCAACTAAATGCCTCAACTCAACTTAAACCTTGTGCAAATTGTTAAGGTCAGTTTTAAAATGTTCAATCATAGCATTTTTTGTTTGTTTTATAAGTAGAGACATACAGTTAAAGGCAAAATTATAGCCCTCCTATAAAAATGTTGTTATTTTTCAAATATTTCCTAAGTGCTTCTAAAAGGAGAGATGCGTTTCATCACACTTTTAAACATAAGTTTTAATAACTAATTTGACAAACAATTACGAGAAAAGGACTCTGCTATGATGACAGTACATACAGTAATACCCCCCTAATTATGCTTGACCCCCCCTTGAAGGACATGAAAACATGTATGAATCTTAAATATCTTAAATACTAATATTACGAAATAAATAATAGATAATATAAATATACACATGCCCATCCATATGGTGGATTAAGCCACAGTGAATGCATAATAGTGTCAATTTATCTAAGCTTTTCTTGTTTGTTTCTACCCAATCCCAATTCTACCCCTTAGCCCTTCCCCTTACTTGCACGTTCACGCCAAGGGGTAGGGGTGTCCCAATTTTCTTTAGCTTGAAGGCTTAGGGCTAAGGGGAAGGGGTGAATAGCCCTTCGAATAAAGATTTTTCAGGACCACACTCGAAAGCAAGGGGCAAGAAAATTTCTCAGAATACACCTGCCACAGCTGCACCCAGAAGTAAGGAGATTCACAAATTAGTGTTTTTTTTGTTATTATTTCGAATTTTTACAATAAACAAACACATGATTTAATATATTCATAACCGCGTTCATGTTTTTACCGTCATGCTTTAAAAAAAATAAATTAAAAATAAAATAAAAAACGCTAAAATAAAAACTGCTAAGTTTCGTGATCTATAATCCATAATCATAACTCCTGTTTAGCAGTCCCACAACATTCTGACACTTGATGACACTCGAATACACTGTCAGTAATGTCTAGTGGCTGGGAATGGCCTTTTACAGTGTGTGCTATATTATTAATGTTGTTGTTGGACTGTTTACATTGATGAATATGGCCACTGTGTAAATGCACAGTATAGTTACGGTCTTATTGCCACATTAGATCGTTATGATAACATAATATATGCCTTCAGTGACTTCCTGAAGATAAATACCAAAAAATAACATAACTGGGGTAACTACAGCAGTCATGATCGTCTGATCTCATATGAAGCAAGAGATATGAGCAAGATGACATATGATGACGTGTGCAGGTGCTTTAGTGCTGTCCCAATTCTTATGGGTAAATTTTGAAGCCCTCCTCTTAACCGTCGGTTGTAAGGGCCAAGGGGAAGGGGTAGGGTTCGAAAATAGAATTAAGATTGGGCCATAGTCTATACGTGAAGTAAAATGAATGCATAGTTTGACCTACAGTAACATACAGTAAATAGCTAATCACAGGATATTGTAGGTCAAAATACACAAACTATCCCACAAAACAATTAAATATGTTGCATTAATAAAATAGATGTAACTTTTATTTGATTCACTGAAGCATGTTACACAAAATAGCATAATCGAAAAAGTTGACCACCCTGATCATCAAAGTATAATTCAGACCCTGAATATCCCTAACATGTTTTCAACAAGAAGGACATTTTCCTGAAACAACATTCCAATTAGCCAATTATAATTAAGAGATGCGTTTACCGTTCATGTTAAATTTAGGCTTACGATTAGGTTTATGCACTTCTGCATGATTGTTTGCAACTATTATTCCCCTCTGATTTTGTGAATAATTAACAGTTATGATTGGGGTTAGGGGTAGGGAATAGGCATGGATTACATTTTCGCACATAAATAATTTTCCATGTCGGTACCAATAGCATAGAGGTTAAGTGCACTGACATATAGCACCAAGGTGCTCACAGCGATCCGAATTCGATCTCGGCTCAAGTTCCTTTGCAGTTCCTTCCCCTCTCTATGCTCCCAATGATTTCCTGCCATGTCAATTCTCTACGCTGTTCTTTTCAATAAAGATTTGAAAACCCACCAAAAATGATAAAATAAAAAATAAAAAATAAATAAATAAATAAATAAAATCAACATATATGTTAAACCCGGATCACAAAATCGGATCGTACTTAGCAAAATCATGACGTGCACATAATATCACCTGAGTTAATTAGGTTAACTAGGCAAATTAATTAAAGATTAATTAAACAAATCACTGGATAACAGTGGGTTGTTCTGAGGGCATTGGAAAAAAATAATGGCTAATAGTACTATGCAAGGTGGTGCAGTGGGTAGCGATGTCAGTTGGCATTTCTGTGTGGAGTTTGCATGTTCTCCCCGTGTTGGCGTGTGTTTCTCCTCCGGGTGCTCTGGTTTCCCCCACAACTCCAAAGACATCCGCTATAGGTGAATTGGGTAAGCTAAATTGTCTGTAGTATTTTTGTGTGAATGAGTGTGTATGGGTGTTTTTCAGTGATGGGTTGCAGCTAGAAGGGCATCCGTTGCATAAAACATATGCTGGATGAGTTGGCAGTTCATTCCGCAGTGGTGACACATGATTAATAAAGGGACTAAGCTGAAAAGAAAATGAATGAGGGAATGAATATTACTACTAACACTGACCCTAAATGTTGTATATATTTAGTTTTATAACCTGCCATTATTTCATCCAAACTAAAAGAAATAAGATTTTCTCCAGACAAAAAAAAATATATATAATAGCAAATACTCTGATCACATGGGGAGTATATAAAAATATTTATAATTTCACAGGAGGGCTGATAATTTGATCTTCAACTGTGTAAACATATGCACTGTTAAAATTTGTTGTAAATTACACAATATTTAACTGTGATAGGAACTTAATTTTACTGTAAGACAGTTTTGCAGTATTTTACTGTATCTTAAAGTTGCAAAGTTAAAATCACTATTTTACAGTAAAGATATACAATATTGTAAACATACAGAAAGATGAATGGCGCTGTAAATGTGTATATATATATAGTATTTTGCTGTAAATGATTTACAGTAAGTAACTGTAGATTCTACAGGAAAGTGTTAACTGTATAAATACATTTGTGTGCACATATTTTCTTACATTCTCCTGCTAATAATAAAAAAATATCATGCCTGAGTGACTGACTTACCTTTTTAAAATACTCATTATCAAAGGAAATCTTAGCAGTTCCTGACTGACGCACACCAGACCCATAATCAGGTGCCTCTTCATCCGCTACAAAAACACAGACATCAATAAATAAAAACCAACTCATGCCACAGATCTGTTGAAAACTATCGTCAAGGGAGGATGTCTTGTTGATAAAGCACATCAGGCTGATATCAACACTGCTTAATTAAATCTGAGTCGAGTCATAATGAATTCACTAATAGAAAGCCTTGCTTACCGGCGATGGCCTGGACCCCCACACGCAGAAATCCTCGCACATCTCCTTTCTCTGTCACTACAGCGACTCGATGCACCAGAGGAACAGGGTACAGCAGGTTACTCAGGTACACGAAGGCTCTGGAGGAAAACAAACCACAATTATAGCACTGCCATGCAAACACACTCAGAACATGATAAAAAAGCTAAACATTAGTATAGAGAATTCTCAAGGTCAAATGACACAGAGCTGCTTCTTTTAAAATGTAGAGAAAAGAACTACAATTGATTATGCAAGTCTTCTATTTTTCCTACCCTGTTGTTAAAGATCCCGTGCTTTGAAATGTGTATTTCTTTATTGGATGTTTGACGTAATCTTAACTGTAGTAGCCCGTCCCCTTCTTAAAAACAGCCAGTATCTTGACGTTTTAAATCACAGATCTCCCAGTGAAAGTGGTTGAGATCAAGCACATCAAAAGAGAAGCATCTTGAAGGGGCAGGACATGTCAGATACGATAGAGCAAGGGTGCCCAAACTTTTTTTTATGAAGGGCCAATAAACAAAGTTAAGTAGGTAAATGGTAAATGTAGTTGTCATGGGTAAATTTCTAATTTATTAAATTATTTTTTAAAAATGACAATAAAAATTGCTTTATACTAACCAATACAGTACATTTTACAGTACATTAATAACTTACTACAGTAAAAACAAAACAATCTCATTTATAACAGAATGACACTGGTTTTTGCCTTGATTTGCTTCTGCATAGTCTTCTATCTGTCGAGTGACAGCATTTAGATTTAGAAAAATCTGATTCATTAACAACATTTAATTAAATCATTTAATTTCAGTTTGCTTTTTTTGTAGCTCAGCAATACAACTAACAGAAAATGTTACATCAAATTAGAAACCCTCCCCATTATTCTCACTGTCCTCTCAAATGGGATGGTGGGCCAAAAATCAAAGGTTACGATGGACCAACTTTAGCCAACAGGCCCTACTTTGGGCATTTCTGCTATAGAGCAGTGGTTCTCAAACTTTTTTCATCAAGTACCACCTAAGAAAAAAATTGTCCCTCCAAGTAGCACAATATGACCAGTGTTGAAATACAGTAGCATAGTAGGCCTAATTAAGCAGCTGCAGCTCTGCACAGTTTAAAAACGTGGCATATTAATTACTATTATTAATAATATTTATTATTATCGGCCACTTTAAACCTTATAAATAGTTTGAACATTAACACTGCTGTGCTTATGCATAAAAAACAAGCAAACAAACAAAATAAAATGTCAATGTTTAAATTAAAATGTGCTTTTAAAAGTATATTAAAGATGGTAGGCTACTGTTATTAAAAAGTAAAAAAAAGCTCATGTACTTAAATTTAAAGTGTTAACCTATAGTATCCTATTCATCACAGCCTGAAAATGCTGCTTGGACCTCCTAAATATAGGCAATATGTCATCATATTCATATATGAACCATTTTTGATCATTTTTAAATATATGTTGCATGTACATATGACACTAGTGGTACACATACCACAGTTTGAGAACCACTGCTATAGAGCATTTGATTGGTCAGAAGATTTGATGAGAAACTGAAAAATGAGGTTGTGTTAAAAAAAAGTCCTTGTTAAAATTCTTTTTTAAAACAACAAAGAGCAAACTTTTGATGTTTATATCCTCTAAAAGCGAGTTGTCACCTTTTTATGAACACACTGGCTTATACATCTCTTTAAGTCTAACATACTGATACAAACATTTAAAACACTTCATTTTAATTTCATAGGACATTTAAAATAATCTAACTACTTTTAAAAATATATATTAAAACAGAGCATTTTTACTTATAAATAAGCAGCAGCAGGTCAAATGTTCTGTATTTTTGCCGCACTTGTTTATTTTCATTCTCTGTACCTAAGCAACGCCTTTCATCTTGTAATATACCATTAATCACTTTCAGTTACAATGGTTAAAATAAGCCGATTTACACATACCAAATGGATGACAGTGGCACTAAATACCATGAGTGATGGTGGGTTTATATCATAAGTGATCAAAGTTGATGACTAAACAATCATTTTATCATTCTAGACATTAGTTTGTGAGGACACAAAAGACAGTATGATAATGCAGTGAGATAATACATTTTAGCTATATAAAAACAGCAGTTGGCCAATTTTACCTGATGGAAGTTTTAGGTAAAAAGACAGTTCACCGAAAAAATTGCTTATTATTTACTAACCAAGTGGTTCCAAACCTTTACATTTTAAATTTTGAGTATGAGAAAAGATTATTTGAAGAATTTATGAAACTGTTAGCCATTGATATACACAGTTAAAAAAAACAATGGAAGTCAATGGCTACTGGTTTCCAGCATTCTTCAAAATATCTTCTTTTGTGATCAACACAACAAAGACACTAAAACTGGGTTTGAGGGTGAGTAAATGATGGCACAATTCTCATTTTTGGGTGTACTGTCTCTTTAAAAACAGCCAAGCAGTGACGTTTGTTCACTCTCCATTACCTCTGATGAACATGATGGTGTTCATCATGAGAGTATAATGGATATGATGTGTCAGACACTCTTTACAAACAGCTGACTCAAACAAAACACTAAACAACAAATGGAGAGACAAACAAAAGGACAAACAAATGATATATGGACACATAACCGAAAAAAAGGCTTGTTTTTGTACAGGAGAGACTGCATGAGAAGAAGCTATCATTTTAGAGGCTAGGGGGCACACACAGTCTAAATCTGAGAAGTGTTTTGCAGTCTGAGCTCTCCTCCTCCTCCTCCTCCTGTGGGCAGACGGCAGACTCAAGGCCAAGATGGAGGAGAGCTATCAGTGCAGCGCATCAGTGAAGTCACGATGACGCAGGTCCATTTACGCCTTTGCACTGATTCAGAATGTGCTGCTTCTCTCCTGTCATTCTCTCTGGTACAACTGACTGATAAATAACAGCTCTTACAATGAATACAAAAGGAAACAATACAGATCAAAAGGAAATTAAACAGAAATGTAAAAAAATGTAATAAAGTTTAATTTATAAACACAATTAATAAATAAAATCAGGGCTGTCAATCAAAGTTAATGTTTTAATATGCTGTTATGTAGCACATTTATATAATCAAGCTTCAAATTTTGGGAGAAAATTCAGTTTTCAAGAATCTCAGTCACTCAAATGTGTATTTGTTTCGCAATCAGAGAATGGCCTTTTTTAATGGATAATTTCTTTATGAACCCAGATGGAATGTTTAAAAAAGGTAATAAGCAGTCTTGTGTTTTGAAATTCAATTACCATGTAGACAATGCAAAATGTCATTCACAAAAATGTCAGTGTGAACCCCAGCAAAGAACAAATGCTCCTGCCAGAAGCTGTGCAAATGCAAGATCAACTTAAGTTTTTTTTTTATTTTTTTTTTTTATGGTTTTATCTTTTAATTAGCATATATTTGCAATTTTTTTCTTGCACAGAAAGCAACTGTTGGTTCTCTAGATTTGCCATTAATAGGAACATGTTTTCAGTATTCATTTATTTCAATTTTAGCCGGCAGCTAGCTCTCTGCAACTTTCACATGGTCACCCACTGAAGCGAAGCAGGGCTGCACCCGCTCAGTACCTGGATGAAAGACCACATAGGAAAGCAAGGTTGCTCCCGGAAGTGGTGTTAGTGAGGCCAGCAGGGGGCGCTCAACCTACAATTTGTGTGGGTTCTAACGCCCCAGTATAATGAAGGGGACTATATACTGCTCAGTGAGTGAGTCTGTCAGATGAGACGTAAAACCGAGGTCCTGACTCTCTGTGTTCATTAAAAAAAAAAATCTCAGGATGTCCTTTGAAAAAAGAGTAGGGGTTTAATCTCGGCATCCTGGCCAAATTTGCCCACTAGCCCCTGTCCATTATAGCCTCCCAACCATCCCCATATCATAATTGGCCTCATCACTCTGTCTCCTCCCCTCCAATCAGCTGGTGTGTGGTGTGCGGTCTGGCGCAAAAAGGCTGCCGTCGCGTCATCCAGGTGGATGCTGCACACTGGTGGTGGATGAGAAAAATCCCTCCAATGTGTAAAGGACTTTGAGTGTCCAGAAAAGTGCTATATAAATATAAGAAGTTATTATTATTATTAGTAGTAGTAGTAGTAGTAGTAATTATTTTCTTTCAAACATGTACCGCTAAACTGCGAATTTAGAAAGCTCTGAAGTTTTTGATATTCAGCAGTGCATTTTGACCAGCTTTGGCCCTACATGGGACTAAATAGTGTAACATTTTAATGGATTGACAGCCCGATGAAAGTAAATACAATGGATGAAAACAAACACAAATCTGTGCTAATGTTTAGACAACTGATGTTAAACCAAACCAGACAGATGGAGGTTAAACGGAAATTTTGGAGAACTGGAGCAAGTGTCTGGTGTAGTAGTGTGGGCTTCATTTCATTACATTTAAAGGGGTCCAGTTATGTACCTTTTTACCTAATGTTAAGCAAAAGCACTGTTTTGTATGCGTCTCTTCAAATGCAAATGAGCTGCTTCCCCAGCCCTTTTGTAAAAGCGGCCAGTGTGCTTTCGATACTCCGACAACAACAAACAACATCTGAATGCTTTTTAAAGCTTTGCATTTTAAAACATCATGCAATTTTTACAAATTTATTTAGCATCAGCTGTTTAATAAACATATTTGACAAAGATTATGTCAAAACCACACTTGTATTGCTTTATTTTTCAAATTTGTGATGGAAGGAAACTCAGGATTACAGTTGAGATTTTTGAGTGAGTCCAGAAACAGTGTTTACTGCGCCTTTCTAAATGGACTTTGTAACTCTTTGATGCTCAAACAGCAACATTATGCTATAAATGTATGTGAAATAGGATACAATAACATAAAAGAACCCCTTTAATATTATACCTAAATAATCTTTGGGACATGAAGCTAGATGAACAGCCACACAACTCTATTACTCATTCTCTCTCTCTCCTGCCCTCATCTATTAGGTTTCTCCTGAGCAGTGGTCACCACCAACCTGCCCACCAGGATGAACCATGGAGAACGATCATAGAAGGGGTCCTGGCCATCACTGAAGATGTCCGAGCCCTCCTCGGTTCCAGCATCTGAGCTGGTGTCATCCACGAAAGCCTCGTCATCCATAAAGTCCTCCATCTCGCTCTGTCGCTCGTCGGCCAGCTCAGTGATCTCCGAATCGGTGGTGGAGAAGGTGGGCGATGGTGTGCGGTCGGCCAGACGCTCGTTCACACAGCCATGAAAAATAGGTGAGCTAAAAAAAGGTGTGTGGGTATGATGCAGGCACAAGTAAGAGTACTGGATTATTTATATAACCCACATTCAAGGCTTGTGACTTTATACATATAACAGACAATACACATTGCATGTACGTGAATAATTGGACATTTTTACTGCAATACACATTCAAGGTTTCTAAATATTAGAACATGAAAAATATATGAAAAAAAACATGGAGGAAAAACAAAAATCACAAAGTGAATTGGAAAATGTTTACAATGTGCACAAAGGAATAAAGATAGAAAGTAAACTACAAATCAAATGAATGCGATTACTGGCTTCAACAATGATAAATGAATAACAAAACACTGCATTCAACAAACAAATAAACACTCCACCAGTAAACAGCAAAACCTAAGCACACAATGACTGGGATAACAACGCAAATCAAAGGCACAAACAAATGTTTAAATAAGAAAAGGATGATGAAAATAAAATAAAAGCATACATGACTGAATAAAAATGTCATGAATGACTTAAGGACTCCCTCTTTCAAAAAAGTACAAGTGTTTAAAAACCACCAACACGCATTCTTTACTAACCAAGACAACTTTTAAGTTCAAATCAAGCTAAACTTCCATGCATAATGTTAGACAGATGATTGAAAACCTGCTCGATCAAATCGAAAGCAATAAATGACTAGCGTACCTCCCAACCAGCTTAAACCAATGAAATCGGTCATAGAACGGGTCACTGCCGGTCAACGCACCCTCCCCATCATCTCCCTGATTGGACGAGGCCATTTCGCCAGCACGGTCGTACATCTCTCGCATCTGGTCCAGCCTCTGCCTGAAGAACAGAACAAATCAACATCTTGTGTTAGGGAAAGTCTGTATCATTTATTTTCTAAACTCAAATCAGTTGTGTGTTATAGTTTCTAAATGTAATATTCTTTCAGATTACATGGGAACATGATGTAATTGGAGCATTCTGTGGTGCTAGTCTACAATTTTATTATCATCTATTTGGGAAATGTGTATTTTCTCTAGAAAATTGGGGACCATTAGGTGCTATTTTTCATCAAAGAAGTCTATCTTCTTCAATTTTTTGTAACTATCAAGGAGGAACTGGAATAAAAATGATGGGGTATTGGGCAGAAAAGAGGCTAGATTCCAACACCATAAATAAAAACAAACTAAAATGTAGGCCCTTTTACATAACAGTTCCTTTACTAACAGAACTTTTTATTTCCAATTGAACACAGTGTTTTGTGGGAAGCCATGCAAGTCAGTTTCAAATGCCACAGTGAGAAACCATTACAGTCTAAACTGCACTTTAAAAACCATTTAAACATAAAAAAACTATACTTTGGGATTTGCAATTATTACTTGGAAACAATCCACTTGGAAATGAAAGAAAAGACTTCAGTATTTAACCAGCCTGAGGCTTACTTCAGCTTCTCCAGGGACCAGTAGTGAGTGGCTCCATTCTTCAGGTCCTGAACCTCCACAGCCACCACTGTTCTCGGAAAAGGCCTGGCGTCTCGCTCTTTCTCTGGCTCTGGAGGCAGCAGCTCCGGGGGCAGTGGAGAATAGAGGGTGTCTGTGAGCAAGACGAACTGGAACTGGACCTACAAACAAATCATGAAAACTACACATAAGGGCATGGACAAGAATAAAAGATGTGAGCTGATGACTAATAATGTAGGTTTCAGCCCTCACTGATGACATCTGCTGCTGTTTCTGGACACTGAAATAATCTAATGTAGCTCATCACAGGAAAATGCTTCCACTCGCTACTGGAAATGTAATCATGAAAATTGCCCCTGCTGAAGCTATAAAGAGGGGATGAAAGTCAAAAGAGTTTCTATAGTAAGACTCTAAAGCAAGAGTCTTCATGAAGTTTTTCACATAGGAACTGAAAAAAGACAAACAAACAAATGTAGCGCATTCAAAGGAACTGATGAAATTGTAAAGCAACTTTTGGAAGGTAGGATTCGGGACAGATTCAGCTTGGTTTGCATTTCCACTGTAGTTCAGTGCTGCTTAAAATGGAATTATCGCCTCAGCTGTAAAGTTACTATTTTAGTGACTTCCTAAAAAAAATATTTAATTACGGATCATCCCATTCAGGTGATCCCATTCATCAGCAAGAGGAACGTCTGGAGGACCTTTTCAACTGACAATCTGTCATTCAGGTGTCTTTTTCTTGCGTTGGTGTAAAAACCGTTTAGTCATGTGAACCAACAATACACCAGTGAGGGATGCTGACTATTTATACAAAGACTTGTGCTGCAAATCATATGATGCTGATAGAAATGTTGTTTGATCAGCAGTGTGTTCAAGTCATATTTGGTAATGGTACAGCATGGTATGGTATGTCTTCTTAACAGTAATGAGTCACTTGTTAAAATCAAAGCACCACAGATTTGTTTTAGAGGCCATTTAAACAGGAGTATTACTTGTATATGGCTTGCCATTGTTAAGTACAATATTAAAATGACCCCTGCTATAAAATGTCAAATATCTACAGTAATTACAGCTGGTGATATCTTGAAGCAATTGAATAATTCTATACTTCCAGTAACCAGTTCACACATCATCAATATGACAATATGACATCATGCATGAAATTAGATCTATTGCACTAAAGATTTTGGCAGCAACTTGTAGGTTTTTTTTTTTTTTTTTTTTGCAGAGTTTAACGTCATATTATGTTATATAAAGTTACGTACTTCAATATTGACAATGACAATGTTCATATAGACTCCAGAGCTATACCTTTTTCTTGAGCTCCACACTGATGGCATTGGCTTCTTTGAGGTACACAGCATTGCCCCATAATTGGTCTCTGAGGGAGGTGAACTGGTGGTATCTCCACTTCCTGAAAGCCCACTGAGCCAGCTCATATTTATGCTGGGTCCAGGGCACTACAACAATACATAAACGACCGTCAAACATGACAAGGCAATGATGCACAGTGATTTTGAGGATTAAAACCAGGTAAAAACAATTAAACACCATGGATGGGTAGGGGTGTAGAGGCTCAATTTTCCTGAATTGTGGGGGGAGTTTTAGGGTGAGTAATGTTGATTCTAATAACACAAACAGTTGAATTCAGATTCAAACGATTTTTGTTTTGGCATAAATTGCACTACCTTCATCCTCCTCCTCTTCTTCTTCCTCCTCATCTGGAGTCTCTGCAGCCAAAGAACGAGTCTCCACTTGTTTCTGCAGCTCTTGCAGTTTGCTCTCATACACCTTTCAGAAGGTTTGATGAAGACAGAAGACAGCAGACACAATCTTATCAGCACTACAGACACTTACCAAACCTTGCCCTTTACACCGTTATTATGATTTGCTTTTGGGCATTGCCATTTGAAATTGTATATTTGGTTTGATAGCAAAAAAATGTAAAAAGTTTGATCTTTTATTCCCAGACTGTTTCTCTTACAAACCTACAGGGTTCAGTGTAATTTGAGAATAAATGAAAGCTTTTGCTCTGCGTATCAATTTTCAACATATCCTTGCACATTCACATTTAAAGCTTACTTTGTGCGTACTTCGCAATATTATATATATATATATATATATATATATATATATATATATATATATATATATATATATATATATATATATATAACAAATATTGTTATAACAAATATCGTTATTTATTAATATCTTTACAATATTACCACAGATAAAAAATACCAGATGTAAAGAACAATGTGTGTTCCTCATTTAATTGATCAGCAAATATGAAGTCTAAACAGTTTGTAATGCTGGGTTTACACCCCATGTGGGGCACTGCGTTACTAGCTCTAGTTTACTCACAGGATGTTTCCACTAATTTCTTGTTATTATTTATTATTTAATAATTATTTTAATTCGTTTAAGTATTTGAATTTGTGCAGTAGAGGCAATTGAGGCGAATTTTGAATGATCACAGTAAACATGCAGTGCATTCTATGTCATTTGCGCTGTTTGGTGAAAATTTGCCTGTACATGCATTCGCATTGATTTTGTATCTATCTGCGTGAATATTTCATTTAACCTTTGATGTGAACCAAGCATTAGAGAGATAAAGCTTTAAGAGGGTGGTTTAACTGTGGATTTAGCAACTGTGGGCAATTTAACTAGAACATGACAAATGGAAAAAAGTTTTTAATTTCAATTAAATTAGGCTGAAGCTAAAGTTTGCAGCAATAATTTTGCAAAACAATTTCAACAGGATTTAGCTTTTTCTGAAAATGCGAGGTATTCCGAGTGGGATTTATGTGCCTAGTACATCCTTACATAATTGATTCCTTGGTTCAAAAGCTGCAGATACATGGTGAAGTTTATTAAAACAGTGTATTGAAGATTTGATCATTTCCATAACCTAATTATATGCAATATGAACAGAAAACTTGAAAAGCATATTTAAATGTTGATGTTCTGCCATGGGGAGAATATATTTTTGATAACATTTACAGACATGAAACCCTGCACTTTTCCAGCGATTTAGATCATTTAAAAAAAGGTCTGTTCCCAGTTGCCTCATACAGAAGACGTAGATCTGGTGCCAAAACAGTCTAGACATTTTACTACTGAATTATAACTGACATTTATAATAAACTCAAACAGTAAAAAATAAGGCTGCAGGTAGAACACACTTTGTACTATAAAAGTGCCATTTAGTATGAGGTTTGACTAAAATGAGGTAATATGTAACATTTTCCTCACATTTAAACAGGATTTATCTGTCACACATATTGAACAGCTGAAAATCTAATTATTGCAGAAAAATAATATTATTGCTCTAGATTTTAAGTCAAACTCCTATTTTACTTAAGTTACAAGGCTGACTGCCTGTGTGTTTCTAAAGTTGCATTAAAATGAAATCATGAGAAAAAAATGATTGCTAGAATGCATGTGTTGGAATAGAAGTCATGTGGAGCGTCACTGCATTTTAAACTTTTTTCCTTTATTTCAGTCACTGTTTGAAATCATGATATTCAACACAGTTCAAGGTAACAGCAATATTAGTAAACCATCAACACATTTTTGAGCATTGCAAGATTGTTGCAAAAAAAAAAAAAAAAACGCCCATGAACAACATATTACTATACAGGGCCGCATGGAGGCACTTGATATTACCATTGCATATAGATAAACACTGAACTAACAAGGGACAAACCTTTAAAAACGATAGAACACATTGTCCATTTGACATTGTACATTTCCTTAACTCCTCTTGTGGTAGTTAAGAGTAGCTGGCAGCACCATATAGTTTTGTTAGTATAATTTCTTACTGAATTGGGGAAATGGCATGTCTAGGCAGTGGGTCAAAATACAGATCATCAACTTACACTTTCATTTGTGTGCTATGCTGAAAGGTGAAATGTGTTATTTCTGCAAGCGAGCTTCCAAAATAATGGAGCTTTCAATTAGGCCCCCTCCATTGGGCAGCAGGACAACCCAAAGGCAGGCTTCCATCCTAACATAAAGGGAATCTTTTCAAAGTTTGCAGAAGAAAAAAAAATCCCAAATACAAATTAGATGCTTTCAGATTAAGTTGTTAGAGTAGCTGACTGTAGTATTGGTAACCTAGCAACCAACAGTAAACAAGGCAAGCATTATGGAGGCAGCGGATAAGAGTTGTGAGCTTAAAATTTGCTACTTCAGTTTATTGGCATTTCCATCACCAATTATTAGCCTTAACCCTTTTTTTGGAAAAAAAAAAAAAAAGATGTCCAAAACCACCTCAAGCAAGCATTAAAAACTTAGAGAATTGATGGATTTTTACTCATAATTTGTCATTTGCATGACTCGTTTCTCATATGAGGCATCAAAATGATGAAAATACTGTTTCCAACTACTGTTGCACAGAGATCACCTCAAGGTTTTAACTTTTCAGAATAAAAATTACACATTTCACCTTCAATTCAGGGTCCTCCATCCTAAGTAAATCCAGTTTTAAGAATCATTATAGTTTAAAAAAAGAAATCCTTCTGATAGGTACACAGTTGTGTTTTATACAAATATGCATTACTATAATAAAACGCTGGGGTTTCGATAGAAATAAGGCAGTATTTCTGTCAACAAAACATTCAAGTTTTTTTTTCCCTATGAAGCAATGCTAAAGCATGGTTTTTGACCTGGTTGGCCAACACTTGGCTCTGGCCAAAGGAGATGACATGAAGAGGATTTCAGAACATGTGCTTTGGTAATATGCAGCTGGTAATGGGTCACACTTGGGCGCCGAGGCACACAGTGCATAATTATATCAAGGCTTAAGCAGGGAAATCACAGTGGCTTAAGTGAAAGGATGCACAACTACATTACCCTACATGATTGTAATTGCTAGTAGTTTGCAAGAAAAAAAAGGTAAATTTAATCAAAATGAGAAGTGCTTAGTGGCATTATACATATCAGTTGTGAATTCAAGTGAGACTAAATAAGAAAACATACACCTGTCCAGCAAACTTGATTTGGCTTTAAGGGTTTTCCTTCCTCTGAATACATGCTTTGAGTTTCAAAATGAACCTCAGAAACCATGGTAACAGCCCTGTTCGAAGTCCTTTCCAAGGGACGTCTCTAGTGCTCTCTGTGGGCTTGCTTACCACACAGTGGTCACTCGAAAATAAATGCGATTCTAATCATGTTAAGATTGAGGAGAACAGCCGAGTGTTCTAGAACACTGACTCCATCCCGTGGGAACAGACTGTGCCCCCTATTGAGGATCAGAGTGCAGCAGGAACAATAGATGCAAAGCATGCTCTGAAGCTCTTCTTTTACTGCGCTTCACAGAAACATCGCCTCTTTGGATACGGTCGTTTAGTGCAGAGTTGTTTGTATTCAAAATAAGGCAAAACCAAACTATAAAAAACAAAGTGGCAGTAATTTTTGACAAAAAAAAAAAAAGTTTTCTTATCAAACACAGAGGGTGGCATCTAGATCATTCACATTGAAGGAGCAATGCAAATTCAGTATAAATCATTAGGTTTTCTTCATATATTGCTATAATTTTATAGATGCCAAGTACAATGAGATAAATGCAATATGTTAATTACCCATTAGTGAGTCAATAAGGCACTTTAAAAGCACTCCTTCATAATCGTTTACTTGTCTGCAGCTAGAAAAAGGCTTGCTGTGAGCTTTCATATTCAAAGTATTTAATGGGAGAACCAACTCAAAGACCCGAGACTTCAAGAAATACAACAATCTGCATAAAATGCAACAGTAAAAATGTCATTTGCATCTCTGACATGCATTTAGAAACATTCAAGAGGATAAAAGGTTGGCTATTAACCTTCCAGCATTTATTGAGTATGTTACCTTATGCACTTTCGATGCATAAATATCAGAATTGTAAATTCAAAAACTCAAAATTCAAGTAACGGCTTAAGGCTCTAACTAGGCAGTATGAAATGTTGCAGTGTAGTGGTTATGTGTTCAACGCTCTGACCTACTCAGACCAGCAGCAAGATCAGGCAAATTAATGATGTTTTCAACTCCATGATGGCATCTCCAAAAAATACTAAGATAAAAAAAATAGCTAATGCTACCACCAAAATCTAAAGGGTGCGTCTCCTTTAAATGCTTTATTGCAAAGATTGTTTTATCAATATAGGCCCAAGAACATTGTTCTTGTTGTGGCTTGGACACCTTTAACCAGCTACCTTATTGCTAAACTGTAACACCCATATGCATAGTTAACATAAATTGGGGATAAAAATGTTGCAAGGTGCTCACGAAGCTATTTCTCAGGTAGACCATTACAATTTGGATTAATGACAACAAAAACATTCAATCATTTTTAACAAGTGCCACATAACAGTTTGACTTGATGGGGACAAGCTGTCCAATGCTGTGATGAGTCTGTAATGTGTGATTTGTAGCGTCAGCTAGTTTTGTACATGAACCTATAGCCCTGCTTTCAATGTCACACTGCGGTTTCTCGACTGCCCTTCAAATTGGGGGCAGACAATTGCCTACGCATACGGGGTGGCGTGTTAAAATTGTTGTGGTGACTGTGCTGCTGATTGGGTGGGTATTGCTGGTAGCCGGCATCAGTATTGTAATGAAAGAACTGTGGATGCGGTTGTGGTGGATAATAATGCTGGTTTTGGTTGTAGCGTGGCTGGTAAAAGGCCTGTTGGGGGTGAGGGGGCTTCCGGTTTCCAGAATTGAAGGTCTCTGTAGAGTCCGAGGCTCGCTGGCTGCTGTTAAAGGAGTTACTACGACCTCGTTCGTGGAGTTTCTGGCTTTGATTAGGTCTATGACTCACACCTTGCTCTAGATCTTTGCTTTTACGTTGACCCATGGGACTAGGAAGAGGGGGATATGTCTGGATAGTGGGGACCACTTGTGGTCTGGGCTCTACAGACTCTTCGGTGTCATCGTTCTCTTCTTGGACTGCTTCTTTGGGAACTTTTAATTCAATCACCTGTTCATCGGTGATAATAATATGGGTGCCAGGAGTCCAGGAGTTGCGATGTTTAGGGTTACTCTTAAAGGGGAAGCGCAGCTTGCGGTCTTCAGGTGGGATGAATCTGTGAGGTCCAGTTTGCCTTCTGAGTTGCTTGGAAATTTCCTGTTGCTGGAGGTTCTTGAGGCGCACTTGTTCTTGTCGCATCCACCTCATGCGCCCACGTCGAAACGAAGAATCGTCGTCTACCATCTTGCACATCTGATCATCTGACTGTTCGTCACTGGGCTTCTCCTCAAGAGCTTTACCCTCGCTGGAACTGCGGGCCCTCATGGGTCCGCCACGAGAGGTCTTCTCCTGGGACAGATTTTCGTTGGAAATCAGTGGGATCACTTGCTCCATCTTCAACATCTTAGTGCGGAGAGCTCGGATCTCTTCATCTTTCGTGTTGTTTTGCTTTTTTACCTCATGCAGGATGTCCTCTAGTTTGTCAATGTGCACCTTCAGGTCATCCATATCAGCCACACCTCTACCGTTGGTTATGACATCTTCGATTCGTTCGTCCCCGACTCCTACAGTGTCCCAGACGTCTCGAGCTACTGCTCTCCAAGAATCTCGTTCGTTTGGGTCTTTCTTGTTGTAGGTGGCACAAAGCTCCTTCAATTTTACTATGGCTAGAGCCTCTATCTCTTGGCGGCTATGACGGAAATCATTCAGTGCCACTTCATAGCAAATTTCTTTGACTGCCTGGATCTTCAGATCTGAGATGGTCACCCATTTGGAGTCTTTTGTAAGGCGACGACGCTGAGGGATCTGGTACATTTTGACAGGCTCTCGTCTTTTACCGCTGCTGGGTAAACCGCACTTTTTGACAATGGTTTGGAGCTTGCTGGGAGGAAGCTTCTCCCGTAGAGAAGTGATGAGTCTCCAGCTCTCCTCACATGACCGCTTATCAGAGTCATCACCACTATCAGAGTCCCCATCCTTGAGAGAACAAAACAGGAAACAAACCAAAGAGTGCGAAAAAACAAAATGGGAAAAATTAAAATGGGATTTCGAAATCAAAAGGAATGTTTTCTGTAAAGAATGGACAGTGTTGTGATATGCAAAATGGGAACAGCTAAATGAAATGATGCTTTGCATTGAGTTTTTAATAAAAGCAGAAGCACTATCACTGGTGTGTTTATAAGGAAAGTTAATGTTCAGTTTGTACACGTACACTTCTGAAATAACTGCATTATGAATACAAATGCAGCAAAATGTACAACTAAGCCACTAAGCTGAGAAAAAATTAAAGCCTATTAAATAATTCTACATTGTTAAATGCCATAAAAAGGTCATTTGGCATTGACTGAAAGACAACAGATATGAATATTTTAGAAAGTATTTGGTATAATTTTTACTACAATATTCAAGTTTTAAACATGGTGCGTCATTGTTACCGTTCAGATGTAGATCCAGTACCAAAATTCAAGTCGCAGTTATTCCCAATTTGCATGTCACTACATATAAAGTAAATGCAAGGCATGACTGTCATGATTATGAGAAAATTGGCAACAAAAAAAAGGGATAGATGTCGCTTGATCTGCTGATTTGGTTGTTGTGCTGGTTTCTTTGTTTTTGTCAAGCTTTAATTCTGACATCCTCTTCAATTAGAGCTCTTGAAAGTTGCACCCCAAACATGCTTCAGTGGCATGCAGCAAAGCCTGAAGAGTTTGGCTTCATTCCCTCATATGAAGTCCTTGATAGAGAAGATATGGTTTTAGAGTGTTTCTAGCTCTAGCAGTGGGTTAGACTCTTGCGTGTTTATTAAAAGGTCAGTACAGAGAAGAAAACAGAGAAAGGACAGGCTCGGAGGAGGTTAAAAGCATTGATTTCATCCACTACAGTTAAGAGGTTAGTTGAGAGAAAATGCAGTTTCTCATTTTCCAGGTCAAGTAAAATAAGGACAATTAAAAAAAAAAGCAAAAAACACAAAGTCAAATAACAGAGGAGACAGCTGGCGACCATGTAATCATGATTGTGTAATCAGTGCAGTGCGTGATAACTGTGTGGTTCTGTATATGAAATTATATGGATGAGACCATCGGAGCATTGGAGAGCTTGTCATCATTGATTAAGACCCCCAACATGAATAGCTGTGTTATATAGCATGCCCTGTGCCTGGCCAGACACATGACTCAAGGCTACAGACGTCAATGAGAAACCACATTGTCACTAGCCTTCATCAACTACAGCAGAAATCTTGGGTTATGGCAACAATGCATTGGAAATATCAGCAATTGCATTGAGAAAACCAACAAACTTAGATTAAATCAAATCTATTTGGGTAAATAAAACACCTTTAACAACACTGTTCAGTGCTCAGCAGCAAATACTAAATGGGGTACTAAGTACCGTGTAAATCAATCAGTTAAACATGCTACGAAAACAATCCATGCAAAAGCAGCATACAGAATAAACCAAAGGAAAGGAGCATTTTTATAAAGACCCCATGAAATGGCTTTATAAGTGTAGTATGATATCAGGGACCACCAAATATGATGGTTTCTCTGTGAGTAAACAAATGAAAAAAATGTAATTATCCGAAAAATATCATATATGAAAACAGCTTGTTATACTATATGCAGGAGTATGAACATCTGTTTTATAGCATTACATTAAGTTGACTAAACATAGGAGGTATTAGAATAAATTCAAAGTTTTATTTAATTATTACTATTAAATGATTTCAAAATGACTACAAAATTAGACAAAATGACTGTCTAAAATACATATTTATCAGATTGCTCTGTTTCTTCAATAAAGCCATACAACTTCTATTTGGATTTCATGGGGTCTATAACTGGTACAAGGCAAATCAATGCCTTACACAACAATGCATTTCATAAGACAGAAATGACCAATTATATACAAGTCCAATTGGTATTCTTCTACTAATGCTGTTTTGCAACGTTACAGTTATCTCAAATCTATGAGAGCGAAGTGGAAATTTGAATGGGAAATTCTTGCTGTATCAATCTGAATATGTAAATAGGTCCATATCAGCAATGGGCCATCTGCTATCTCAATCCAGACAGAGTGGATTCAGTTACCATGCAAAGAGGTTCAGCCATGCATTGGGAGAAGTGTTTCTCTCTCACACACACTCACAAACAGACACACACAAAAGTCTCAAGTTGTCAGAGCTAAGAGTGCAGAATTAGTGCTGGTTGGACTTCAGCAGAGCAAGTAGAAAACTAAAGGCTGTTTTACTCGGTATCTCTCCCCTCAGTCTACAGATAGTTGCTAACACAAATTTGGATGGTCAACAAAGGCCAGATTGAAAAGGAAGAACAGGTCCTCTGATAAACAACAGAAGAAACAAGAATTATCGTAAAGATTTAGCCTTACCAGTCTCTGTTGCTCCAGTAGCTGGTCCGCTTCCTCCTTCTCTTTTTTGTACAGGATCTCCATTTCTGTAAGCCTGATATAATACAGTGCAAGACCACTGAATCAAAAAGCTGCTCTTTCTTACGCTCAATGCATTTTCTTTTGGCAAAGTATAATCCTAAAAATCCTTCTTACAAAAATCCAATTCATATGTGCTCACACTCTATACCAAGAGATTAAACTTCACAAAAGGTTGATTTTATCTTCTGTAGCTGCTGGGTGGCTTTGGTTGGCATTCCAACCCCAAACTGTTTTAAGCTAGAACCAAAGCTCTCTTTATTTTTTTACCGATAAAAGAAAATCTAATGTGACTGTTTACTGTTTAACATTATTTACAATCTTTTTGTATTTTCATCACAGGTGGCTGAGCTAAGAGCCAAAATGTTTTCAAACGATTATTATAAATCTTGTACTGATCCTAGAGATCTTATTTAACAAAAAAAGGGATGCACCACATGGAAATTTTGGCCGTTATCAGTAACTGATGGCTATTTAAAATTGCAGACACACAAAAAGCAAAACAAAAATTAATATAGTGTACAAATGGTTTTATTTCAAAACCTTAACTTCAGAAAAGTTTGAACTGATCTCTTTAGTAATTAACTATTAATTTCTGTGGCCAAATCTATGTTATATGAACAATCTCCAGCAGCATTAGCACTTTTAACACACATGTCTGCTTTTGCATCATCACACAAGTGACAAATAAAACCCCTCATGGTGGGTGCTTTAACCAGTGGAAATAATACATCATTGATAGGCTTAAAGACATTGACCTTACTTTAATAATATAATAATATTAAAAATAGCACTTATCAGCCAATATGATTATGGCTGTCGTTATAAAGTGCATCCCTAAATAACATGAAATAATTCATAGGACTTCATACCTCTTCTCCATCTCTTGCTTCATGTCGATACCCTGTTTCTCCAGCAGTTCTCTTTGGGCAAAAGTCCAGTCAACAGGTTCTACAGGTGTCTCTGCTGACGGGGTCTTCTCACGCTCAGCGCGAGCCTGCTCAGGGTGGTTAAACCGGAACACGTGGTTCTTTCCCATGATAATGCGGTTACCTGAAAAATCAGGAGGAACATACATTGGAACAACTTAACGAAATCACAAACTCAACCTTAAAATATAGTGCATGTGCTAGGAATTACAACAGCAGCACAGTAGTCTTAGCTGGATTTTTCTAACCACGTGTACAGGCTTATGCATGTGCTTCAAAAATTTGCATTTAACTGCATCCACACATAAGCATAACTGTGGCTATGTCACATTAACAGAAAATAGTTAACGTTTACAGTGAAAAAACAGCAGATAATTCATAAATAATAATATCGTATTTGTTTATATATGATAAAGCAGATCTTAAAACTTGCAAAGCAGGCAAGCTGTCAGTGACTCACCTGAGCGCAGCTGGACCGCAGAATTCACACGTTTACCATTTACATATGTTTCTGATCCCTCACATGGCTCCAACGTGACAATCACTGTAGAGATGGAAGAAAATTCACTACCTTTATTAGCGATGCCTAATATATACTTTCCACTCAGTAAAAGTGTAAAAAACAACAACTGTAAAACAGAGGAGATGATCTTTGACAAAGAAGTTAATTCATATGCACTAATCATGTCTGATCTGAAAGCATAAAGGCATTCTTCATCTGAATTTCAGATCTAAAGATGGAAAAGAAAAGCTCTAACCATGTCCATTGGCATTCCTCTCACTGCGGAAAATACAGTGCTCCTCTTTAATGTGAGCTCCACTTAGAACGATATCCTGTCTTCTTTCAGCATCTGCCTGGCCCACCCTGTCAAAACAAAGACACTTATTTTATTCACAGGGATACTCCAATAGACACATTACAACGCCGTTACAAGGTGGCGCAACACATTTTCAGAAGAAAGCATATAGTTTGACAGTTGTTTACACACATAATTTGTAATAGTAAATATATAACAGAATGCTATTTGTGGGTATACAGGGCAATGATCTATTTAAATTTAACTATTATAAATGCAAGTAAAGAGAGCAAGTATTTGTATTTTTTCAATTTTAAAGTGTATTATTTAGTAAATTAAATATTTAGTTCTCTTTGACTCTTAGGACGGAAACTGTGCTTTACTCGCAAATGTTTTACGTGATATTGCATATTTGTGCATAAGTCTAATTCACACGTTTGGATGGAAACAGCTATTATAATCGAACTCAAATGTTTTTCATAGCACATACCACAGAAACCATAAAGATATTTAGTACAAATCAAACTGCACAACAAATAATTTGACAAAATTTACGAAAATACTGTAATTATATTCCATTACCCATTCCATATATTTAATGTATTATTATTATAATAATACTCAATAGTGAGAGTTTACTGGATCTCACAAGTTTCAAATAAGTAGCCCTATTTCATACAAAATGGAATATGACCACTTACTAGTTGCAAAGTGGTAAAAGGCACCAGTGCAACATCACAAAAAGAAACTGTTGAACTTTCAGAAAAAAATGGTAGCAAAATGAAACTATTTATTCACAGTCTGGAGCCCTGGTATATGAGTGTATACAACAAGAAAAAGTAGACAAGTGCATCACATAAAATTCTAACTTCAAAGCATACACTTTGAGGGAACATCGATTGGTTGGATGTGTAGCCACCATGTGTGCAGACTACAGTTCTGGGAGCTTCTGACAGATCCTGAAGTGATTTCATACCTTGTTATTCCATCTTTGATATAATAGAGCAGACATTCTGACATCAAAGGATCCTCGTTCAGGTTCACCAGGTGAGGCGTCTGTAGAGAAGCAGGGTCAGTGTGAATGTCACACAACTCAGACAAGATTCAACAGCCGTATCAACTGACACTGATATCTATGGACGTTTAAGCTAACCGGTTCTTTGTATTACTGCCATTAATTCTATGTACTAGCCAAATAAAATAGTGAGAAGAAAAATTGAGAGAGATATGTGACTGGCATTGATTACAGTTATACGTGTTAACTCTTTAATAGCATCTTGAATAAAACAGCAAAGTTTCTTATGCACACCATTTAAAGAGATAAAAAAGTCTTCAGATTTACAATGACAGCAAGTCTTCAAATGTAGCCTTTTCAAAGCTTGATAAAGCAACACATGAGCCTCTAGGAGCTAAATGACTAGAAGCTACTAGTAAGCTTTAATTACACCACCAACCTTTTTGGGTGAAAACACCCCATTAAAGTCAGTATAGACTTCACAGGGCCTTTCAACGAAAAGCTATTTAAGAGCCAAAATGACAGAAAAATTATAGAGAAAAAAGAAGAGAATGAATGAAAGCATGGATATGAAGACAAATAAAACACACACTGAGAAGAGATTTTTTTTTTCTAGAGGTGAGCTAACTGGGTTGAAATGCTTTAGGGAGGAAGAACTAAAACAAGGTTTCTGGAGGTTTCATTAAGTCAAATTTAAGACATTATTAAGACTATTATGAATTTACCATTATAAATTTCAGACTTGCTCCATTAAAATTCATATTTCGCTATATATTTCAAATATTGTGTCAAAAGTTAATAGATAGTTTTTAAAAAGACCTTTAACAAACATCCAAAGTATATGCTTAAAAAAACTACAATAATCTGTCCAGGTCAGTGTCCTCAACATATATGATCTATAAATTCATAGAACTTTTAAATGTTTTGTAAGCAATACAATTAAACCATATTGCTTAATGGAGTTATTAAATGCGACTTTCTGTTTGTACAGATTAACCAGCTTTATATGAACGAGACCACTTTAAAATGATTTAAGACCTACAACACAAAATTTCAGCAAATTTAAAACTTTAAGGCCTCAAATCTTGTTTTTGAAATTAAAGACTTTTTAAGACTCCACGGACACCCTTTAAACAGACATAATGAGATCATGGGAGATGGTCATTTCTACAGCTCAGTTTTCCCTTGTCTGAATATTAATCTTTCACTGGTTGTGGCAGTTTTTTTTCATCTATCTGATTAAGATTTAGCAGCTTACATGCAGTATGATATAAAAGGGGTCGTATACATGTACATATATCTGTGTTTGTCTTTTAAACATCCACCAAGACGTTAAATCAGCTCTGACAGGTTCAGTTAGTCTCAGAGCTTTGTGTCTAATTAAAATGGCTGATTTTCATGAGAGCCATTTGTCCTTGAATCATGCAATGTAAACATTAGTCACATTGTATGAAACATGCTGAAGGGGATGCGCATTCATTTCCTACGTTTACTTAAATTAAAAATCTTTTTGTGTTACTATTCATGCTAATAGCATAATTCATGCTAATTTTCTCAGGAAAAATATATTTTTTCCCATAGTTTAGTTCCATATGTAATATTTAAAAATTACATTTTTGTTCATAAGAGATATTATGTGGATAATATAAGTATTCAACATTGCTTCTTTAGAATTTTTTTTTTAAAGGTTTCAAATATTGACATTAATTTGTGATTTTTTATTCATTAATTTTAATCAATTAAAATGTATAAACAACAACAACAGCAACAATAATAATAATAATAATAATAATAATAATACAATAATAATAATAACAATAATAATAATAGTGAGATATTATGTGGATAAGAATTTTAAATATTCAACATTGCTTGGGAAATGAAATATTTAAGGTTTCAAATTTTAACTAATATTAATCTTATATTAATTTGTCTTATTCTATTCATTAAATTTAATCAATTAAAATGTATTACTATTAATAATAATAATAATAATAATAATAATAATAATAATAAAAACACTAATTATAATTTTAAAAAAATTTGCAGCGTATGTAATTATTTTAAGCATCAATAACATCAGTTTTTGCTATACACATACATATATTTAATATTACCACACACTAAAAACTAACAAAGACATGGGAAAATATGAACCTCTTAGAAACTATTTTGGTTTGCTAAAGAAACACACACATACATAAAATATATATATATACATATATATATAAAATATATATATATATATATATATATATATATAATTTTTTTTTTTTTTTTTTACAAAAGAAAATCCCTTGAATTTGACAAACCTGATTGGAAGAATAAACACTAAAGTCCTCAATGGACAGTGACGTTGGTCTATCAGGACCAAACTTAATAAGATTCCAATGCAAGAGGCGAGCAAAAACAAAAGATAAAAGAATGGGGAGGAAAAAAGAATGATGGATGATGAAATAGGAGGAAAGAAATGCTTAAGGAGGAGGTGAGTGTTGCAGACAGTAATGCTGATTAATGATGAAGACTTTCCACATGTTGTACCTTTTTAGGAGAGAAGACGCCCAGGGTTCCCCCGTCCTCCCGTATGGCAACTCCCATCTCTGCCAGCAGCGCCTCTCTGAGAGGGGAGAAGAGAAACATCAGACACAAGCTAAATGACATTGCAGTCAACACCTTTTTTATGAGCAGTCAACCACAGAGACATCTGGAGGATATATTTATTTAATACTGGGGTCAGCGTGTTATGTGCATTTTGACAGCTGCTGGAGTCTGGTATAGACTGGCACTGGCTGAGCATGTGGACACAGAGCAGACACCCCTCACGGGCATGATGGGTATGTGCACAGGGACAATAGGAAGGGAGCCAGATGGCACTCAAGTCCGCACTGACCTCTCCATACGGATGGCCTCGGTCTTCCTCAGCTTCTCTTCCCAGGTCTCATTCAGCTCGGCTATGATCTTTTCTGATTCCTGAATGAACACAGACAAAGACGTTCAGTATATTACAAAAATAGTGTGGAAGACAGTATCTGAGATGGCCAAATGATGGAATTATAATCAAAATGTTTATATTATCAAAATGTCCAACTGAGATCTTAAGAGTTTAAAAGCAGTGTTTTATGCAAATCAAAGCTGTATTTACGTATTATCATAATTACAGGCAAAACAAAAATATTACTACTACACTTTAAAATGACAATTTCTATATTGACATTTAAAAATGCAATTCACTCATGTTATAGCAAATTTTTTGTATTGAGAATTTAGAATTTGTAGCATTTTTACTTTAATCTTCATTGACACATTGCCCTTTAAAAATGTATGTAGTATTAGGCATGGATTAATCACAAAGAATTGTATTCAAAAATAAAAATATTTTGAAAATTGAAATAATAAATATACACATTACACACATATATTACGTACATATAAATACACACATGTATCTATATAATTTAAAAAAAATGTTCATTTATATATTGATATAAAATAAATATGTAAATAAATATAAAATATAAATATAAGAATAATATTTAAATCTAATTATCTATGTAGCACATTTTCTTTGTAAAGTTCTGCTTTTAGGTATGTATGTGTATTACATATATATAATAAATAAAACAAACAAATATATTATGTGAAAAATAAACTTTTATTTTGGATGGGTTTAATTTTGCCAGGCACTTAAGATGATTTGGTGCATATTTATTGCTATTATTGCTAATGCTGAGTTTAAACGTCTTAATATTTTTCCGGAAATTATGAAACTTAAGTTCACTGTGAGGTAAGCAAAACATTAAATTGATGAACAGAAGTTCTTATTCAAATTTAAAAATAAAATCCTGCAATTGATATTCATTATAATCCCATTTATGATGTATTTTTTTCCAAATCTATAACTTGGTATCTAGTATCTAATTGTTCTGAAAGTCATTCTTACTATATATTTCATATTTTATAGTTGTGGTGTTTTTCTTTTTATTTTAGATCATTTTTAAACCTATCCCTTATCATTAAGTTACTGTCCTTGGTGTGAATTATTCCCACATACTTGCCATTATGACCTGCCTGACCTGTGTGTGTGTGATACTAAGAGGCTTATTCTGCTCAGTAAATACGTTAAAGTAGACACAGCAAGTGGTGGGAAGGCCATAAATTTAAGCTTTCTATGGCTAAAAGGGCAAAGCCAGGCCATTATTACCTAGTGCGCAATGAGACATGGGGTCAAAAGTAACGAAAAGCGTTAAATACAGGAAGTCCAAAGCTGGTTTTCCTCTATTGTGTCTGGTCCTTATTGTCCTTGGCTAAGAGGAAGACCAGAACCATCTGTTCTGAGGTACAGGAAGCTCCCCCTAGATCCTTCCTAAAGGGTTAACACCCCTGCCATCTGTTCATGGAGAAACTAACACTGTAGCTTCTTTAAACCTGTGAGCGGATTCTTCTGAGAAACGCAGATCACCGCGGGGAGCTGGGAAAACTGGGTTATCCTTATATGTGACATGTGTATTCTACTACAACTCAATTATAATCTCTAAAGAAGTTTTTTATGCTCATAACAGCTGCATTTATTTGAGTAAAAATGCAGTTAATCAGTCTTATTGTGATGCACTTTTAAACATACAGTTAAGACATTTTGAAGAAAGCTGAATATCTGTAACTATTGAATTAACTATTGTTCAGCTTTCTTGAAATATCTTCTTTAGAGTTCAACATAATAAATAACCCTTGAGGGTGAGTAAATAGTGTAAATAGTGAGTGAATGTTCATTTTTGGGAGAACTATACCTTTAAACATTTCTCCGGATTTATGATTTGCAATTATGCTTTTGAGTAGAACCATTTTATACATATAAACTACTGTATACTACTGATGACACTTCTGCTAAAATTAAAACTAAGAAATGCTGTCATTTAGTGCATATTTAACACAAAATAACAAAGAAGGTGCCATGTTTTCAGAAGTTTTTTCTTATTTCTTATTAGACAACATCACTAATGTTCAGAAAACTTAAGATATCAAGGTCTGGTGAAACCACCAAACAAAAACAAACAAAAAAAAACTATTTTGAACAACTGTCATCTACTGATAAAAATGCTTTAAATGACAGTCATTTTAGTTGGAATTTGGAGGAAATGTTATCAGACCTTTATATAAATATACCAGACCTGTAATTTATATTTGCAAGTGACTGTCTTTAATATGAATCACACTGGAACAACAATCTGATTACATTATTGATTGAGGTCAAGGATGCGCTCACTTTTAATCATACGTCCACATTTTTAGCTAATTCACAAAGAGGCTGTCTATTTCTGTCTGATTTCCTGCAGAAATGCGTCGGAGTTTGACGTCACCGGTGCGAGCCCCTTGCCGTAACCATGGAAACTAAAGCCTAGAAGCTGCAGCCACGTATACTTTCCCTCTTTTTTTTTTCTCCGTTACTATTGCACACATTTACAGAGTCTCCATAAATGAACCACTTAATCAACTAATATATTCAACTGCATTATATAAAATTAAAAGCAGCAAATATAATTTCACGTTTAATTACCTTTTAATGTTGAATATTCAAATAAACATATCATTTACTCAGCACCGAGTCATTGTAAACCCAGAGAGCTTGTTCACCTTCAGAGCACATAATGGATAAATTGTACATTTATATTAAGATCATTTTACATTTATAAATAGATAAATCCATATGAAAAAAAATATAAATGAACTGGTTTAAAAAAAGTTTTTGGAGGAGACCAGATTTCTTTATATGACGAACACATTTCATTTAGCCTTTTATTTTATTTGCATACACTTCAATGGAGGGACAAAAAAACCTGATTTTACAAAAAAATAATAATAATAATAATATAAAAAAAATAATAATAATAATAATATATTTAAATTTGGTTTGTTTAAAAAAAATGTACTGACCTATTCATGCATGACAATGTTTTTCTTCCAGCATATATAAAGGAATGACCATGTAAAGGTGTTTTTGTTTTCTTCTCTTCTTTCAGATTGAAAAATATTGATTTGTCTGTTGCTCCCCCTCCCCTGTTTGTTTGTTTGTTTGTTTGTTTGTTTGTTTGTTTGTTTGTTTGTTTGTTTGTTTGTTTGTCTTTTATTTTGTTAATCTAAAGACAATAAAATGTTGATCACAACAAAAAAAATGTACTGACCAATACTCAGAACTTTTGGTATCAGATTGATTCAATTTCTGACAATTTCTACTGATATCCAATACTTATTTAACACATTTCAGTACTCCTAATAATCCACAGGTGTTGTCAGACATCATTAAATCAGTCCCCAATCTGTCAAAACGAAAGCATAACCGCACAGATGAAGTCCTTAAAATACCTCCCAGGTTACCATGGTGATCTGTAGCGGAGCATACATATTTATGAGAACATGCTAATCATTTTGAGCAGCACATTTTGAATAATAAAGGTCACCAGGTGCCTGAAGCACCTCCGTTATCTTATTACACATTGTTCTCTAATTAGTTTTGATGAATTCAAGAGGAAACCTTTGCGACACCAGGACATTTTATTTCTGCTTAAGCACTTGATTCTTCTTTTGTCTGTGTGTACCTTGAGCCTCTCGATGGCCTCTTCTCCGCCTGGCGTGGACATGATGCGCTCCTGGATGCTGGAGACGGACTGTAGGCCTGCCTGGCTGCAGAGAGAGCCTGAAGATGGAGAGGCTGTCAGACAGCCCATGGGTGCTGTGGAGAAATGGCCAGGCCGTTGGTTCTCTGAGGCAAGCAAGTATCTATGCTTATTGTTGTGTATATCTTTCAGGTCTGAGCCACAGAGGAGAGACAGACGACGCGAGGAAGAGGAGGAAGAAGCGAAAGTGGTGGAGACAGAAATGTGACAGAGAGGATAAGAGAGAGAAAAAAAGGACAAAGAGGAGGAAAGAGCAATGTAAGACACACAGTTCACAAAAGGATTACAAACAAACACACCAGTCACAGTCAGATTTGACATTTTTCACCTCAGGTCGTTGCATAGAAAAGGATTTATGTGTCTGGACTCTTGGACTCTCTCCAGGAAATAATATCATTGAAAAGAAAACATCAAAACCTGCTTTAGAAAATGTGTAAGGAATTTAATAGCGTTTTGTCTCCTATGTTTGTACTTAAACTTTTTCCACTTTTGACATAAATTATACTAAATTTAGCATAAGACAAATCAAAAATGTTACTTTTTTCCAAATATTTGCTCATTATTTTTAAAATACATACTTGAAAAATGATATATTGTTATATAATTTAGCATTAATTTTGACTTGAATGTATAACACACAGACAGACAGACAGACATACAGATAGATATACAGTACAGATATACAGGTAGGTAGGTAGATGGATGCTTACGATTTTCAATATTATAATTATTAATATTTTTAAACTTGTCGATTTTAAAATGTATGAGTCAAATATTCAAAACATGATATAGGACATTATACATATATTAATTCATTTTATTATTGTATTATAATTGCTAATTATATAAATCAGTCGCTGTAATACACATGCATTTATTTGATCAGAAATTATGTTACTATGTTACAAAGAGTGTCAGTCAGACAGTGCAGTCTAGCTAACATCCACTTTTACTAATAAATCACATGACTTAAATCTAAATAGATTTTGACCTGGGTGAAAAATGACATCACTTCTTGGATAGAAGAGAAGCGATGTGTTGGGGTGGACAGGATTGCATAAAGGTCACAAACCAGGAGAGGGGAAGCTTGGGGTGGTGGAAGAGCTTTATGTTCACATGCTGCAGAAACGAGCTAGAAATCGTACTTTCCATGCGGCACATCATTCCCAAAATCATGATGCTGTCCATGTTTCGACAGCCAAAATAACAACTCTTCAAAAACACCCTTTTGGTAAAGCTACGCTGACTAGGAGCGGAGTGTGCTTTACAAAACCTCTCCCAGGGAGCTTTATGGCAGTTCACTCGAGCTTTACATTCACGCTATTGGATTTTTCCCCACTTCATTTATCTGAAAAGTCTCTCCTGAAGCAACTAGGCCAACATGGCGGCATAACAGCACTGCATTACATTACTGTTCATGCGTTCAGAAGATGCAATCGGGCTGCTAGCGCACACAGACCATGGCCAAGCATTTCAGTCAAGTTCAAATATTTGCTTTCGCCGTGCCATATGGTTGTAGCGGTAGAAAGCACAGTGTGTGTTCATCCCTCTGCGCATATCAAGAACTCCCAGACAGATAGAAACCCAAATAACAGTCTGTGCTCGGATTCACTTCTGCAGCTCTTAAAAAAAGATATACTGAGGATATGGAGAACAGGGATGGGAAAGGAAGCACTTGGACTACAGCAAAATAAAAAAAAACTGAAGCTACGCAATGCTAAGGTAACTTACACTACCATTGAAACTGCTATTCTGTTAATGAAATAGGATGAAAAGATGCACCTTTTCTCCGATAGAGCATTGCTTCAGTTTGTGAACTTAGCAGCGTTTTAACATCGTTAATATCGTCACCTGCAAGGAACAGTTAGATGGCACATAAAACTTACTAGGGAGAAATCAAAATGCTAAAGTGAAGAGCAATAAGACTTAGATAGCAAAACAATCAGATTACAAGACTGGCATTAAAGGGATATTTCACCTAAAAAAATGAACACCTTGTCATCATTGATTTACCTGTATCAATCTAAGACATTGATTTTCAGTGATGAAGTTCAGCACAATGTCATATAATAGATTTGTAAGGTAGTCCAAAAATAAAGGCCATTTTTCACTGATATTCTTTCATTAATTTCAAATAATGACTGCTGTCTTCTTTTGACCAATTACAATAGTTAATGCATTTACAACAAAGAGCAACACAATTGCTAATTCATTTTTGTTAATATCAGTAAAGTTCAGGTACATTGCAAAATATCAAATAATACAACTGTTGATTTTAATACTGTATTAGTATGCTTTAGAAGTATTTGTCATTATTCTTAAAACTAAATCTCAAAATAGTTAACTTAAAATAGGTGAAAACAAAACAGGACAAAATACAAAACCAGTTTTTTTTTTTTTTTTTTTTTCAGATTGCGCCAATTATTATTATTTATTTTTTTGCCATTTTATACAAATTAAATAATATATATATATATATATATATATATATATATATATATATATATATATTTAATTAACAAAATAATATTTTTATTAAAATGAAAATGGTAAAACAGTTGGTCTTTTTAAAACATAAAATTAATTTAGGAGTTTATTTTGACTATAAGGTTGATTTGAACTACAGCAGGGTTCATACACATTTTTACTACTAAAATTCCAAGATTTTCTATGAATTTTCAAAACTTTTAGGTAAATATTCAAGACCTAATGTTTCATGTAATGTCTATGTACATGTGGTAAATAAGAAAAAATGTATGTTCAAATTTATTACAGCATATCAAAAAAATATGTGACAATCTATGTAGTTTATGTTTATTTTATACCTGTAAAATAGTATATTCAAGTACACAGATATTTCTTTAACAATTTTCCATGGCTTTTCCAAAACATTTTGGGTTTATATATTTTCCCCAAATTTTTCCAGGCCTGGAAAATGCCTTGTCAAAATTCCATGATTATTCCAATTCAATACCCTGTACAGACATTATGATTTGTTACGCTGCTTTAGATTTTAAGTGATAACAAGTTGCATAAATTAGTAATAATCCTCTTTCTTAAAAATTTCAAGTGTTTTCCTAAGAATTTAAAGTTATAAAACCCAAAAAATATCATTTACTCACTATTTTCTTACCCTCAGGTGGTTCCAAACCATTATGGAGTTTCTTTATCTCTTTTTAACACAAAAGAAGATATTTTGAAGAATGCTACAAACAAGTAACCATTGACATCCTCAGAAGTCAAAACAAATACTATGGCTGCGTCTGAAATCGCCTACTACTCAATAGGCATTGCATTTGAACTTAAACGTACTACTCGACTGTTGGAAAAGTACATTCTATACAGTACTAATGTCAGTAGTATGAATGGAACTTGGACGCGATACATCTGCCATTTGTCATTACCTGCATCACTTCACTCCCATTCATGAATTCTCTCGCTGTGAATCATGGGATAGTATAGAGTGCATTTTATGCGCACTTTAAAATCTCACCGGAAGTAGTAGGGCATCCGGGTACTTCTCACATACCCTTTTCAAATTCTATGAATCTGGACATACTGCTCGACTCACATACTAATTTTAGCTTACTATATAGTATGGAAGTATGCGATTTTGGATGCAGCCTATGAAATGGCTTAATGGTTACTGATTTCCATCATTATTCTAAACATCTTTTCATCAGAAAAAAAGAAACTGAAACATGTTTAAAATAAGTAAATAGTAAATGATGAGATATTTTTCAATATTGGGAGAAAAACATAAATCAATTTTAGGTGAACTATCCCTTTAAGTGTTTCCAGATACAGTCTATCAGATCTATCGCGCTGTGCTATTTTGGAAGAAAGCCTGACATTGAGACTGCACCATGCCAAATGATCTATCAAATTAAGGTAAGAGCAAGCGAAAAAAGCTTGCTAGTGGGCATGCTAGCCTCATCCAATCCATCCCATATGTATCTGTTTTTGTCTGGGATTCCTTGTTGGAAAAAAAAACTGAGGCATGCAAAGCTGACAGTTTTATATTCCAGAAGCGATGAATAAGCTACTGGTAAGCGAAAAGGGGAAGAGCGAGAGAATGCGGCCCCATCACGCATATACACACATTTGCTTCCACTTCCAAGGCAATCATCCCCCATTGGCTCGACTGAAGGGAAGCAGGAAGAACAGAAGTCAGAATTGAGAGGACTAGTTGAGGAATGACTGACCAAGGGAGTTAGACACAATATTATGAAGACAAACATGAAATGGAAACACTTGAGTTTACATATTTGGAAAACAGCATATCCATCATATCTTCATATTAAGGCTCTCCATCAAATGTTGACATAATGGTTAAATGAATAAGTAGAAGAAACCACAACATAAAGACGACGCAGGGTTGGGCGAGACTGGCGTTAAATCACAGCTCAAGAATGTGACCTGCTGTTTGCCTGGAAACTGGGTAAGTAAAGCAGTGGCCATTGGGAGGCGCTGTATCTCGACTTACTGTCCAGGATGTCCCCGAGGCCTTGGGCACGGAGTAGCTCCTTCAGCCGTGACACCTCGTCCTTCAGCTCCCGCACCAGTTTGGCATTGGGGTCCTCGTTGATGACAGCATTGCACTTGATCTGCTTGGCTCTGTCCGCATATCTATGAATGAGCAAACAAAAGCAATGACCCCAAACAGCCATGGAAAAGCACAAGATTACTGTTTTATCTAGATCTAGAAAATCCACTTATTAAAATCAAGATCTAGGGTAGAAGTCTTACCGGAGTGTGCTGAGCGTTTCATCAAAGTTGATGTCAGCAGGGCTCAGTGCAGCCACCATTGCGGTCCTCGAATTGCCTCCTGGTAAACAAGCACATTTATGCAAACAATTAGAAACGATTAGAAATGCAATTTCGTTCGACTGGAGTATTGATCTAAGGTGGCCAATAAGGTTAAAGGACACACTTTCCACAGACGATTAAAAGGCACATGAGACAAGATGTGAAGATTGTAAACAGTGAGTGTTTTCTTTTTCTGTACATTTTTTAAAGCAGTGATATAACAATTTCCACAACACTACTTTACATTTGACTTTGGAGTTAAAAATTGTGCAATAAATTTGATGCAGCATAACACAAGTTACCATCTTATGGTAAAGCTCTGATTCTAGTCAGTTGAATATGAACTGTAACATTTACAGTAGTATTTCACAGAAATACTAAATTCTAAATTCTAATTCTAAATATGAAGCAATTGCTCACTTTATTGATGTCTAATCATCTTGTTTTATCCCATTTCTTTTTGCATCTTAGGGTGCTTTCACACCTGTGGATCGATTCTCTTGTTCCGAAACAGAGATTAAAATTGTTACAATGTTGCTTTGTTCTTGGGGCAGTTCGCTTTCACACAGCAAAGTTTCTAAATGGATTAAAATAGCTAAAACAAGTCACGTGTGAGTAAACTCTCCTCACATTGGTCAGAGTTTCACGGTTTACTTTGCAGAGTACAGATCAGCTGTCATGCGTCCTTATTTTAATTTATGCCGATGAGCAATAAGACATAAGCGAAAAGCTGCGCTTTCATTTCGAATAGAGACACACTCAGACGTTGTCACTAAATATAAATCAGAGCTAAGACTTTCTCATACATAGCAGTTGGCTTTTGTATTATAGGTTTTATATTATAGAGAGTTATAACTGATAAACCACTGCTAGTGTTCAATCAATTTTCCTAACGAATAAACAGCTCCCGTTAATAATTCAGAATGATTTCACTTTAGAGTTTAACATGAAATGCACATTTTCCGGTAGGAATGACATTCTGCCCTACTCATAATTCTCTCTTCATATACGATATATCCTGTGATATTGCCTGGTTTGGATTGTATTGCTTTCTCACTACAACCGATCTGCCTCAGAGTTCGTTGAAATCGAGCAGAGGCCACCTCATTCAGGCGATCTCGGACCAATTGTTTTGGCGCAGATCTGAACATGATTGCTGGATTCGCATATGCCAAACAAACAGCGCTAACTGGGGAAACACGACAGGTTTCGAAACAAAAGTCTAGGTGTGAAAGCACCCTTATACTTAATGTGACTGTGGCTTAAAGACTGGGTCTGCCAAGCACAAACAAAATAAAAAACACAAAACAAAGCAAAGCACAAACAAAATAATTTACTTAACAAAACACAAAAAGCAAGCAAAAGCAACACACAAAACAAAAACAAAGCCAAAAAAAAACACACACAAAACAAAAACAAAGCCAAAAAACAAAAAACAAAAAAACAAAACAAATCAAAAGCAAATTCTAATTTAAAACACAAAGATAAAGCCAAGCTAAACTAAATTCAAACAGTTCTATCTCCATGTGATTAATCATTAACAGCCATTATGGATTGTCATCCATACCTAAATTCTCTCTTAGCAGCCATGTCAACACTGAGTCTCGGTAAGGAATGAAGTCGGTCTTCTTTTTCTTCTTGCTCTGTTTCAAAACAGCCAGTGAAGCATGTTAGAATCAGTATGTCAATACAACTACGGCAGTAACGATTAAAAAGGGGAAGTGGAAATAACTTGATGTATGAGACATCAAGATGAGCACAAGACAGATTATTAGGACAAAAGATTACATGGAAAATGGCGAATAGGATTAGATCGAGAGGTTTCAGTGGTTATTGATCGTACACAGGGAAAGATTACCTTGCTGGTACAGTTATCCTGGGTAGGGAAGCATTGCCAGGAGAAAGACACACGGCACACAGAGTTATAGTACTGAAGACAGGCAGGCACAGGAAGAGAACAATTAAACGAATAATACTCACCACCTCAGCCAGGGCAGAAATCACCTTTCCTAGTGTAGTTAAAGATTTATTGATGTTTGCTCCCTCCTAAGAAGCACAAAAAGAACAAACAAACAAACAAATAAATAAATAAATAAATAAATAAATAAATAAATAAATAAATATTTACTTAAATTATAATAACATTAAATAATATTTTGTTTAAATAATTTTGCCTCAATCAATTTCAAATACATATAGCTTAATAAATAAATATTGCATTTTGTGACCTAAAACTTGATAATATTCATAAAAATATTTGTATATAAATGTTTTAATGTTCAGTCATGCATATGGCGGGTGGTGGTTCAGCTCTCAACAGGCTGTAAAATTAGTTTGTACCTTTAGTCTGGTTCCTTTGGCCCCTGTTGAGTCAGCACGCTCACTTCCTGCCAGATCCACCAGGCTGATTTTGCTGACCTGAGACCAGACAGAACAGAAACTTTCAGATTGACAAACACAAACTAAAATAAGACCCCAAAAGGAAATCTCTTGACATAATATGTTTATAAGTACATGAGAGTGGAGAGTTTGTGCCATCTTAAGATACATGTCCACTAGAAATACAATTGTATACAGCATGTAAAGTATTTATGACGTACTGGCAGCCAAATGAATCGTTATGATGATTGTTCGGAAAGCATTAGAAGTGTTCTATTAACCATTTTGTTTCGATTACTGTAGTGAAGCCTTTAGTGGATGTGACCTAACTGTTGAAGCATGCTTGAGTAATCTCAGAGTAATTTCAGTTTGCTCCAGCAGTACCACTACCAAACTTTGTTAATAAAATTAGGGCAATGGATAAACAAATGACAAGGAAAAAAGAAAAACAAATGACCAGGAAAACAAAATAAAAATATATAGTCAAAAACAAACAAAACAATAAAACAATAAGCCAAAAACAAAACAAGAAACAAAAAAACTGATTAAAAAATAATAATAAATAAAAAATTATGCTATTTAAGAACAAAAGCAAAAAACTATACAAAAAACAAATATCAATAGACACACAATAGAAATATTAACAAATAACAACAAATCAACATAAATAAAACTAAATTAATGCCAAAAAAAACAAACAAACAAAAAACAAACACCAAGACACACACAAACAAAAGTAAATGAATTAATGTTTTTTTTACTTGAGCAATTCCTGTACCATCACCAGTGGTGTAACGTTACTAATTACAAATACTCAAATTACTGTAATTGAATAGTTTTCTCAGGAATTGTAATTTACTAAGAATTTTTTAAAATGTGTACTTTTACTTTCCCTTGAGTACATTTTTACTTCTGTAACGGTACTTTTATTCCACTACTTTCCTTCAACCTGCAGTCACTACTTTATTTTTTCAGAAAAATCATTCCTGTCATTCTTGTCCATTCAAATCGCACATACTGTAGAGAGTAACCGCATCATAATGAACTACCTCAAGACATAGGCGCTTTATAAATGCAGCAAACTGTTTGGAAGCATTAAAAGTGTCCAAGATTTCCAAAATCTTTACACCCATTGACCCAGAGACTGTTTAGATGCATGTCACTGATAAGATGACAACGTATGTTTACTGTATGATGACAGAAATGGCCTTAAACACCCAGCAGACACAAGACGTCAACATGATGTCAGATTGACAATGTACCCTAACGTCATGGGGACGTTGCATTTTGTTTGGAAATAAAAATCGTGTTGCCGTCACAACTCAATGTCAGGCCAACGTCAAGGTCGAATGTCTAACCTAAAACCAATCAAATATCAACGTCTGAGGATGTTAAAGCTTGATTTTGTGTGGACGTTACCACTATGACGTCTATCAGACGTTGGATTTTGGTTGCCATACCTGATGAATAAATTTCAGTAACTGATGTCAATATGATGTTGGTTTAATATGTTGGCTCGACATTGGATTTTGGTCACTTTCTAGCAACCTAAAAATCAACAAAATATCAACGTCATTTGACGTCATTATTGGACATCAAAATAATGTTTTCTTTAGACTGGCTAGATGTTGAATTTTGGTCACCTGACATCACAACCTAAATCTAACCTAATAATATTGTCTTACGACGTTGTGTGCCTGCTGGGCAATAACTAGAAGCACTACAGAATGTTTCGTTTACACACAGGCACAAATTACATGTAAATGTACCAGCTGTAATACTTACTACTCTTACTTTTGCTCTTACAATACTTACTTTTGAAAGGTCAACTTTTTACTCATACTTTGAGTAATATTTACAGCAGATACTTTTACTCTACTTGCAATACATTTTTAGTCAAGTAATGGTACTTTTACTAGAGTATGATTTTTCAGTACTCTTTCCAACACTGACCATCACATAAATTGTTGTGATGACTGAATCAGTCTAAAGATCCTATCACACTGATTCAGAATCTGTAAATTCCATTAGTCATTAAACTAAACAATTCAATCGTCCAATCATTTCAGAGTGCTGTAGTAAAATCATTGTTGCATGGATGCTAAACAAATTGCACTAAAGAACGCTTGGGTAATCTTTTCTTTTTGCCATGCTTGATTTTGGGCCAGCGGTCCCACTGCCAAACTGCATGAGTAATATTAGAGCGCGACCTGTGTAGTGAATCTAATGTAGTAGCTCTGTACAATAGCCATTGTGTCCGTGAACCTCACAGAGCCGTCTTTGTGCCCGCAGCGATTACACAATGAGCCCCACAAACGCAGGATGAGTGGGACGGCTCTCTTTCTCTTAGTTTTCCTTTCCGCTTGGTACAGGATTTGCTGACTTTGTGCTGCAGGACTAATCTGAGCTCTGTGAAATGTCATAATGGGCTGTGGATAGGTGTAAAATATCCAACCTTCTCGGTGGAGAGGTCCGTCTCGCTGTCGTACTTCCTCTGAGTGAAAACGATAGTAAAGACGGCGTGAGAACGACTGCTCGTCTCGTTCATGTTGGTTGCAGCGACAGTTCTGAGGACACCAAGGGATAAAATCAGTGTCAGAGGGGTCATACTAAATGCATATAATTATTATAGCAAAACAAATAGTAGGATTTTTCTCAGAAATAGATATTAGGTTGTTACAGTAGTTTATGTACAGTGCTCAGCATATAAGTCCACCCATAACAAATCTTTCATTTAAATTGATATTTTCTATAGGATGCTTAACTAATATATATGCACAAACATAATATTGTAAAGCCAGTTCTGAATCCAAATCTGGAGCTTATCTAACAAAATAGTTTACAATAACAGTCCAAAAACTGGTAGCTCTAATTTAAATGTAACAACAAAGAACCAAGTATAAAAGAACAAAAAATATATAATAAATATATGTTGCTTTTTCAATCTTTTGCTTGAATTTAAATGTGTTATCTTTCTATTTCTAAAGATGTTCGGTGACTAAAATAATGTTTTAATAAATATATATGTTTATATTTATGTTTTGTTCATATGCACCAATATATATATATATCTTTACTGAGAAATAGATAAAAACATTTTTTTTCAAAATAGGGTGTATTAATTTATGCTGATCACTGTATTTCTCAACATCATTTTTGTTATTATTAAAAGGATAGCTCACCCAAATATGAAGATTTCCATACCAATTCTCACACTCAAGTGGTTCTAAACTGAAGATGCTCTGAAAAATGTTGGAAAAAGCAGACACTGGCATCCACAAACATTTTTTGAAAAATACTATGGAAGCCCATGGTTGTTGTTTTTTCCAACATTATTCTGAACATCTTTTCAAATATGTTTTCAAGAGAAGAAAGAAACAATTGGTGGATGAGTAAAAAGACTCATTTTTGGGTGAACAATCACTTTAAAAGCAGCATACTGCTGTAAAAATCAGGTTTTCCAAAAAGACTCAATACTAAACTAAATAATAATGAAAAAAAATACAATAAAATAAACTAAGTGCATTCAATTCAACAAAGAAAAAAGTGCAAATATTTTATTTTATTTGTTTATTATTTTAAAAAATCCCACAGGTAAAACATTTTTTAAAGAAAATACATTTCATCATGGTTAAGCTAATAATTTCTCCACGCCATTACCACACACACACACACCATTCGTCTATTACTTCAATTTATTTTTTCTTTCACTTATCTCCTCTTTGTACATGAGACATATTTCATCCTTTTGACGTATTTTACATATTATACGGTTAATTCACCATTTGTACATTTCCTTTTCATAACATAGACCCAAAACATATGTAGTATTGCAAACAGCCATTACCTGAAATTTCATCATACCTTTCTCATTTTGTTCTTTTTTTACAATCACTTCGATTCATCAAAATATTCCTTTAATAATATTTTTTTTGTATTTTTAAAATCACCTATATTACTTAATATATTTCTTTAATAATACGTTTTCAACAACTTTTTAAATTGATTAATATCCTGACATTGTATTGTGTTGTGTTGTTATTCAAAATATTGAATAACAAACATTTATATAATAAATAAAAATAATAAAAAACTTGAAAGGCTTAACTAAAAGTTAAATACAAAGTTTGTATTTAAAAGTAAACACGGGTACCGCTGTTTAAATAAAATGCATCTTATCTTACCTTCTTATCTTACTAAAAAAAATTACCAAAAAAAGTACAAAAACAAAGTGCTCAGCATATACAAGTACACCCCCCACAAATCTATCGTTTAAATTCATACTTTTAATAGAAAGCTATATAATATTATATGTGTGCATATACATTAGATTAGTTAAAACTGAAGCCAAATCTGAAGCTTATCTAACAAAATAACTTACAATAGCGGTCAAAAAACTAGTACAGCCAAATATATATGTTATAGAAAAATATTAAATACAAAACGAAAAATCAAGAGGAACAAAACAAAGGAAAAATTTAGTAGAAATTTTGTAGGTTGTAATTTTTTTTGCAATATTTAGCTTGAATTAAATTGTATTAAATAAGATTAAGCTAAAAGAAAAAGACTGAATGAATGAATAAACTATATTATCTTTCAATTTCAATATATTTGGTGACTAAAATATTATTTTACCTGTTTAACAAAATCTGTTTAGTTTAAATGCACCAAAATTCATTGCCTATATTCACTGAGATATGGATGAAAAAATTATTCGTTTTTGAAATGGGGTGTAATCAGTTATGCTGAGCACTGTATTTGCAACCCTAGACCATAAAACCTGTCATAAGCATAACTATTTAAAAATTGAGACTTATACATCACATGAAAGCAGAATAAATAAGCTTTCCATTGATGTATGGTTTGTAAGGGTTATATTTGGACAATAGGACAATATTTGGATGAGATACTATTTGACAATCTAGAATATGATGATTAAAAAAAATCTATAAATGCTGAAAGAAATTGCTTATAAAGTTCTTAGCAATGCACATTACTTATGAAATATTAATCAAACTAATCAAATATACATTAAAACATACCAATTAATTAATTAAATATAATTTTCACATATTTACTGTAAGAAATTTCTGAAATATTTTCATGAAACTTGATATTTACTTATTAAAACTACACTAACATATGTAATAATTCAAAATATCGCTGAGAATGCGCTTAGCACAGTGTGAGAGAATAATCCAGAAAAAGTGCTAGTAAGCGCAGGAATAAGACATCAACATGGCCCATGTGCTGGATGTGGCTCAGGGTGGGATGCTCTCTAGAAAAACAGGGTTTTACACGTCAACATTCTCCACAAATAAACACTGGAAATCAGCATGGGAGGATTAGAAGTGTGTGTTACTCCTTCCCAAGAGTCACATTTACACATGACTGTCAGTCAGTGTTATCACTGGAGGAAACACAACAACACTTTTCCATTTCCTCCTTGACAAAAACTCCAACCTTTTTGCTTCAACAAATATCCTTAATAACAAATACCTGTTCTGGAACATTCAAAACTGCTAATACAAAATAGATAAAGCTACTTTTATGAGTTTTGTCTCTCACCTGGCTTTGTTACCAGCATCCATCAGGTCAGCTATGTCGGTGTACGAGGTGACAGCCAGTTTCGAGAGGTCTTCAACATACGGCCCAAGTAGAGGATGCTCCCGGACACGAAGGTTCCCTTTGTTCTTAGGGTTCAGCAAGTCCCTCACCCGCTCACAGTATATCTCCATATAAGCCACCTACAATGAGCATTTCAAAATTAGCTGCTGTAAGAACCATAACTAGAGATATTTTGGAAATTTATTCTGCAAAACTGCAAACATTAAAAAACAGGAGAAGGAAAAAATGGGCAAGAAAAGATGAACAGTGGGTATAGTTTCCTCATTGTATTCAATAAGGGCAGATTAAGTTGATTATAAAGTATGTGTAAAATATTCATAGTGTTATAACATATTTATGATAACAATAAACGCTGTTCTAGTGAACTGCATTTCCCAATAAGCATATTAAAATTGTTTAGAGATGATGTGACATGGCAAGTTCAGCGTCGCCATCACAGAAATAAATTGCATATTACAATTGATTAAACAGATATTTTGAATTGTAATAATATTTTAAAAACGGTCATGGGACATGGATATATACTTTTCAGAACAGCCAATATGGGAACCTTGTTTAAAAAAAAAAGGCATGAGTAAAATATTATTGATTTTTATTTATAAAAAAAAATGTATTATTAAGTAAAAATCCTCTTCCATGAAGATATTATGTAAATTTCTTGCTATAAATCTATCTTACTTATTTACTTAAACCTAATTTTTGATTAATAATATGCACTGCTAATACGTAAATTTCGGAATTTATGGACACATTTAAAATGTATTTTACTGTTTTAAAATGTGCACATTAATAATCAAATATTAATCAAACTTATCAAAGATATTTAATATATATACTAAAATATTAAAAAAAAATTCTATTTAAATAATAGTTTTGATATATTTACCGTAAGAAATTTACTAAATATTCCCATGGAACATGATCTTTACCTAATGATCTAATGATTTTTGACATTAAAAAAAAAACTATAATTTTGACCCATACAATGCATTTCTACCTATTTTCAAAAATATCCATGCAGCTGAAGACTGACTTGGTGATCCAGGGTCAAAGCAGAACCCTCAGATTCCAGATATTCCAATTTACCAGAAATTTTAAAAATGCATCTTGATGAAAATTGTACAATCCTAAAAAACCATACATCAAAGGAAAGCTTATATATTCAGCTTTCAGATGCTGTCTACAGTGCTCAGCAGAACTGAGTACATCCTATTTTGAAAATGAATATTTGTATCCATTTCTCTGTGAATAAAGGCAGTATATTTTGATGCACAAAACATATTTATTAAACAGATATACTTATTAAAACATAATGTCACAAAACATATTTATAAATTGAAAGATAATACTATTAAATTCAAGCAAAATATTGCAAAATAATAATAATAATAAATTACAACCTACAAAATTTGAACAAATTTTTTATTTTTTTTGCTTCTCTTGATTTTCCTCTTTTTCTAAATTTGTATTTACTATTTTTCTATAACATGAATTTGGGTGTATTAATTTTTGGACTGTTATATTAAGTTATATGGTAGATAAGCTCCAGCTTTGGCTTTAGTACTGATTAATATAATGTTTATGCACACATTTAATTTTGGTTAGATTCCTATTAATAATATTAATTTAAAAGATAGATTTGTGATGGATGTACACATAAATGCTGAGGACTGCAAGTCAAAATTTTTAAGAATTTACACTACTGCCAGGTTTTGAGATCCAGGGTCACGTTACTTTTTTAATTGTGTTTAATTTTAAAAAGGCACCCTTGAAAAAAAAAAAAAAAAAAAACTTAGTTACTGACTTCAAACATCTTAATTTACAACTCATTACACAAAATACCATTAACTTAATTTAAATCCTTTTTTTTTTGTTTATTTATAAATACCAAATTTATTCATCATTTAAAAAAAAAACTAAGGAGGATAGATCATTTTAAAACATTAAATTACACCCCATTTTGAATTGAAAATGTTCTGCTTTGGTTTAAGACCTTTTTAAGACTTAAATTGTAAATTAAAGCTTTTTAGGACACACAGAAACCTTCCTAAAATGAACTTAATTTCCAAAACTTCAAGTTGACTAAACGAAACCAACACAGGTAGACTAAATATGATATAACCCAAAAAGCGCACAATTCTACAACTGAAATATTGATATCAAGATAAAAAACAGCCACCACTTTGTTTACAACAGAACGTATTTAGCTAGCTGTCAGTTCTTGAACCCTCGAGTGAGCTATGAACAAACCCCGCCACCACCGCCGCTGAGCTTAAAGCTTTTAGATAACACAGCAAAAAGCAGCATTTCAATAGACGCCGGCGAGCGTGTAAAGTGAGTCACAGGAATGGACTGAGTGGTCGTGGTGTGTCTGTTGCTCACCTCCACCGAGTACGAGATCTCCTCATTGTTATTGTCATTGATTTTTTCGAAGAGTTCTTCACAGAGCTGGGAGGGGGACAAAAGAGCACATTAGGAAAGAGAGCGAGAATGATCGATACAGTGCACAAATAACTCTACCCCTGCTTGGACGTACTAGACGAGGCGCTAATGCCTTAATGTCTGCTTTGAGATCCGAAACATGAGAGTTGCTGCTGAGCTCTTAAGCACGCATTTCACTTTGGATCCATTAAGGTGATACATACGCTGTGATGTTACATGCATACATACCTGAGGAATAATGCCTTCCTGTCCTTCCTCTTGCTTTCCCATCATGGTATAGGACTTGCCAGCTCCAGTCTGGCCATATGCAAAAATGCAGACGTTATATCCTTCAAAAGCATGCTGCAGCATCTCTTTCCCGATGTCATTGTAGACTTGGTTTTGTGACGCAAAGCTGGGGTCGTCCGGCTAGCGGAGAAATGAAGAAAAAGGAAAACGCATTATTACTGGGGACTTTTTTTGGGAGGGTGATTAATTACAGCTGTAAATCTGACCGCATGCACATTTTATTGTCCAGCGGGCCGGCTCAGCAGAAAAAGAGCAGGAAAAGGAGAGAAAAGGAGACTTACTGAGGTGTGAGACCAGTAGGAGTAGTCAAAGCTGAAGGTTTTGGGTTCCTTTGGGTTCTTGGGGTTCAAAATAGCTGGAAAAGACAAAGAAAATTAGTGTGTTTTTTAAAAGCTTTTATTAATATGCTACTACATGTAGTGGTTGACCAGTCCAGATTGTCTGATATCCCATTATAATAATTTAATGCTGAAATTTTAATTTAAACCTGAAAATATAAAAACAGAAGCATATTATAAATAATATTAATAAACACTGCAATAGTTTATCATTAAATTGCTAAATTACTGCAGCTGAGAAAATTATGGTAAATGCCCTGCTACCCTATAAAAAATGGGTAACACTTTACATCAAGGTTCAATAGTAAATGCATTTACTAACATTATACATTCATGACATTTATTATTTTAGTTAATGTCAGTTAATGACAATAAAGTCATTTATTGATAGTCTTTAATAACTTGCAGTGCATTAACTAATGTTACATGGCTCTCTGGAATATTTAATATCTGATTGGTCAATCACAACATTCCAAGGTATCTCATTCCTAATTAACAACCACAGAAATGAATAACACGGGCTTATCTGGTTACTTAATCAGGCCTATTAATGAATACACCTGTCTAACTTTATTCTGCAAGAACAACTGGCTGAATGTGCATTATCCCTTACTAAAGTACAAGTTTTGAATCTAAACATGAATTAGTAAATGTTGAACTATAATTAATGATGTAGGAATTGTTCAGTATTACTTCATGTTATCAATTACAATATCCAACATTAACTAATTAAACTTTACTGTCTGCAATACAAAAAAAAATGCTTTTCTTACTAAGGGCATACTACGCTATCCGAATCAGGCCCAGGCGCAATTCAGTCAGCCAGCCCTGACCCAGTACACTTGTACTGTAAGTGTGTCCACTGTGCTGAGCGAGAGCGCTTCTCATTCCTGCTAAACTGAGCAGTAGCATCATCGATGACGTAAGAATGCTCTGGCTCTGAAGGGATGCAGTGTGAGTGCAGGACAATGGGGGAGAGGGAAGGGGGCACAAGCCTGCTTTGGCACGATTCAAGGCAATCATGCCTAGTGAGAGTACACACTTAAAGGTCTTGTCTCAGTCTAAAAATCTAAATATTCTTTTTATTTTGTACTTTCGAAAGTTTCTTGTTGATAGAAATAAGTCAAAATTAAGTGAGTTTTTTGTTAAAGCAAGCAAAATAATCTGCCAATGGGGAACGCTAAACAATCTTGCTTTTGCTTTGTAAGTTAGCTAACCCCATTGGCAGATTATTTTGCTTGTTTTAGGGAAGAAAAAGAAATTATTTTGACTTATTATTTCTAAAAAAATAAAACAATATTTTGGCTTGTCTAGAAAATGCTTCTTGTTTTGAGAATTCTTAGATATTTGGACAAGAAACAAGGCAAAAATTATTTTGCAATGTGACCAAGTAATGTGTGCACAAAATTATTCTTTATTGCTTCAAGCTACTAGCAGATATCAAAGCTATACACGAGGAACAGGCTGAGCCTGCCTTCAGGAGGCCTCTGACTGAATGAACCTGTGAAATTGTAAATAAAAGGAGTCACGTGCATAACTGCTCTGCTGTAAACCACTTGTTTGGGTGCTATTTTTGTTCTCAACAATTGAGCAAGTGAGAATGGAAACATTCACCTCAGCAGAGCCTGTGTAAAAAAAAATGATGACTCCAAAATCTCTTTATGTGGAATCAGCAGGTCCACCTGTTGCATTTGACAACCCACAACTTTTACCTTCCTCCAGTTCAGAGAACAAAATCCAATTTAACCCTTCCCGCTTTCTCTAATAGATACCTCACATGCTGTCCATCCCGCTCTCGGCAGGTCACTACATATCCCTGCAGTCCTAATAAACAGGAATCTACAGGCTTGTCTGGTATTTGGCGTGTCCCAAACATTCAGCTCCAACCCACATCTCAACAAGTCCACACCGTCAGAACGTTAAGCCAGGGAACGAGTGTCTCAAAAGGCTGCGGGCCCACAGGAATCTACTGTAGGATATTTATAGGTATCAGAAAGCCAGCTGCCCCTGCAGTCCCCTCAACAGACTCCGTGTTAACCGACAGGGCCTCAAAGCGCATTCAGGCCTTGATTCGATCCAGACGAACACATTCCACCGGCAGAGCGCAGGGTGGCGAGGTCAGTTGGCTGGGTGGGCGGAAAAAAAAAACGAAAGGGGAACTGACGAATGGGATGCACACGTTGCTGACATAGCAACCATCCAAACAACAACATAACAGCCCTTCTTGCTCCCACCGCAACCAAAGTGACTGATCAGCTTAGAAACAGAGAACAGCGTTTCATCTGTACAGCATTCATGGGTGGAAAAAAGAAGGGAAAAACAGGTGTGGATTATACTGAAAAAGTCAACGCGCTAATTAAGAATGAGGTTCTCTGCAGTTGAGGATGTTTGAGCCCCCCTGCAACGAGTAAATCCGCCAGCACCACCTCTGGGACACTGGCTAATCTCACAGTATTCATCTATTATTCAGTGGGAATGGGAAAGGAGGGCTGGATACTGAACCACTTCTCTCTGAGATACTAGTTAAGAACTAGACTGGATTGTATGTTCAAATTAAAAACACTATTTGTAATTATTTTGAGAATTAGTCAAGGACCATTTTTGATCGTGGCACATTAAAATGTCTCCAGGATCTGCTATTGAAGAAATAACATAGCATCATGCTAGAGCGCACATTGTATCAGTTGCATATGGCACATTGGTCTCAGTACACTGTGCAATGCAACATATTCACATGAGAGTCACACTCACAGGACATTGCACTTATTCATTCTGACAAAAGATTACATATCCTTTGTGTGCGGTTAGCCATTTTTTTCCTGAGAGTGAACACCTGAGGAGAGAGCATAGATACTACAGAGCATGTTAAACTGCGCCTCATTACAGGACTTGGTTATCTTTCAAATCGGATTGCACTAAAATGGACAAAACCACACAAAATTTGCAAATGTCTAAGTGAAATACTTTTATATTAATATCAATATTCATAATGGCATGTAATATTGTGAACTGCAGACAGAAACAATGAATTACAGCATTGTGAGACTGTTTACTTTGGTATTTTAGGTTTACTTTTTGCATTTTATTTAACAAAAAAATACATGTATTTTTTTTATTTCTAAATTTTTAATCAAACATTTGCCCTGAAGTTCTACATAAAGTAAGAAATATGATCACATATAAATGAGTACATTTCTTAGTATATAATTGTTATGTATTTATGCTCTGTGTTTTTTTCCCTCTCTCTCTCGCTCTGTTCTCCCATATCTGCTTTCATGTATTCTCAGGTTCCGTTCATTGGTCCATTCAGATGTCAGTCATTTCTCCACGGTTACGTCACTCTTACGTCACATCCAATAAGCAAAGACCACCCGTCTTAAAAGCGTGCACCAGACCACTCGCTAATCACTTGCTTGATTTCTCTTTCGCTTGACTTTTTCCGCTTGTTTGTATTTATTGCATGCGTTTAGAAAACCCCGTCTAACTGTGTATTTTGTTGTTGCCCGTTTCTGTGTGCACTTTATCCGTCCGTTATTAGGACTTGGAAGATCTTTGCGAGTTAATTATGCTGTTTTCACATAGTTAGTTAGCTAGATGCTTCTGGGAAGTTAGATTTAGGTTGGGTTTTGTTCTTTTCATTTCTTTAGCGCCGCCCGCGTCCCTTCTGCCAGCTCTCCTGTTTTTTCCCGTCTTTATTTGTCTCAGTGTTGTGAATATTGTAAATAGTATATTTTTGCCTTACTTACTTTTTCTTTATTTTTGATTAATTCGTTGCTGTTGTTCACCTTTGGGAATTGTAAATAAAAGCACATATTTTTGGAATTACTTTGGTTGTCTTTTGCACTCATTCACTGTTTAAATAGATATATTTTAATTAAATGAATGTCAAACACCACCATCCCCTAGACTAACATCAGGGGTTTGTAACAATAATTTAAATATTAATCACATGTAAATGACTATTTCTATTAATAATTTACCCTTTGTAAATTACAGAAATTGTACTATATTGTGATATATATATATCATTATGATATGATAGGACTTTTATTGTGATATGAGATCATTACCGCCAGTACTTTTTCTGTTACTTTACTGACTTAATTTGTGTAAATTATTTCTAATGCAATACATTGTTTCAATGTGCTAAAATGTCAATAAAAGTCACTTTGCTAAACCGCAAATTGAACTGTCAAAAGTAAAGTTGACAGAACAGAGATCAAAGTCCCGTAAGGCAATTCATAACTCTTATGCTGCGTTCACGCCAGACGTGGATGAAGAATCATGCGCAAGTGATTTACATGTCAAGTCAATGAAAAGACATGAATAGACATCCTGCAGCGCATTTTGCATGAACGATGTGGTGTGAGTTTTGCGCGTTTGTAAATCGATCAAGTTGGGAAATTCAAACTTTAGCAAACATTCGAACCAAATTAACCAACTATGAGCTTGCTCTTGTAGGGAAGTGATTATGTCGTAGTGCCTGTTGTTGTCCCAAGGGGAAATCCTTTTGCCGACACCGGACAACAGTTCATCAAACTGGGCTCAGCTCAGTCTGCAGCACCACTGAAAGCCTCCATCATCAAGATAGAGTTGATGAACTTACAGAGCTAGGTCCACCTCTCAAAGGGTCTAGTGCACTCAGACATGGCGCCGAACGAATATACGCTGTTTTTCAGCTCTCCTAAAGCACAAACACAGCTGTTTAAAATATTCAATAAAATCTATGTTAGCTATTTGGCAACGAAGCTAGAGCCACCGGGCAGATAGAAGCCCAATATAATCTATGTCTATTGTGAAGTGAATTTGACGCGCGAATGAAGCTAATTTGACGCACAATTGCTGCAACTCAAACCGTTCATGCATCTATTCACGTGCGAATAGCGCAATTTATTCACGCATTCTGCGTCTGGTGTGAACACAGCATAATTAAACAGAAAACACCAGTAAATCAAAACCATTACAGTAAAAATTACTGTTAAAGGGTATTTTTACAGTGTACACTATAAATAAAAAA